ATACACAGTGTCCATTAGATACTCTGGCACAGAACCAGGGAGAATTTTGAATACAATGAAGGCAATTTTGAATTAATGGGCCAAATTCAGAGGTGAATGAAAGGATGTTAAAATTAATGTAAGTGACTTACAGCAGCCTAGACGGGCAATGCTGAGGTGGAAATTACATACCACCTCTGAATTTGGTCCAGTACCTTACAACTTTAGGTCTTTAAGTGGGACACTGCCAGATTATTGAGGTTCCAAGTTTGTTTTGTTTAAAAACTGGGGCCTGAGGGTTACAAAAGCTAACAAATGTTGTTATGAAAACTTGTCTTAGAACATTTGTCATGCAGTACTGGAAGCCCAAATACAACAGCATTATGCTATTCAAACAGGAAAAGGAGTGACTCTAAACATTGATAATGTCTTCCAATACCTCACTGAGCAATTTTATTTCAAGGTGTGTCTGTCTTAATTTTTGGACATCTCTTTGCTGTGCTTTGAACATGATGGACAGCAGGAAGCAGCTGGGAGGAACTAAATATAGCCACTGAACTTCCAGTGATTTGGACCCAACACAAATCTCAGCAGAACCCCACTAGGCACTTTCCCCCAGTGCTATCCTTTGACTTTATTATTAATTTATCTTTAATGGTTTTTCAGACTGTTCAATTTTGGTGCCAGTGCTCAGGGAGAACCCACATGAATTCATATTCCAACCAAAATTTCATGGGACAGTGTGCTTTACTAAAAGTTAAAAATATAACAGCTACTTTATTATTTTTGTCCACTAAGTCTCTAATCCTGCAATGAGCTATAAAACTCATTGCTGTATCAGGGCCTAATTTTGTAATTTTATCAAAAATAGCAATCAAGTTTGGTGCAGTTTTTCTTGATAAACCTGTGCAGATTGCTCATAGTTTATTATCTTCTCAACTTGTACATTCTCTCGCTAATATTTCTTCTACCATCTTGCTAAGAATAAAAGATAGATTTACCAGAAGTAATTACTGGGACCATTCCTTTCCTCCCTTTTCTGAATATAAGTACCATATTTTTTCCAGGCCTATTTCTCCTACAGCTTCAAAAAGAATTATCAGTTTGATAAATTCTTTAGTCAATTCCATTTTGCCCTAGGAGGCATGTTATCAAAATCTGCTGATAGGTCTATCATTTTCTAAGCATTCCTGTTAGCTACCTTTTTTCACTAGTTATTTAGAATGTTTTAATAACTCCCAAATTGTCTGTGCTACTTTATATTTGGTCAAAAATAGATTTGAAAAAAGCAGCTCAGTAGCTCACCTGAATGAAGACCATAAACTCATTTTGTAATGGCTACCAAACAGCAGTAACTTTGGGTTGCTGCCAAACTGGCAATTTGGGGCCCAATTCTGCAAGGTGCTGAGTGACCTAATGTGACTGTAGTGGGAGTTGAGGGTGTGCAGAACTTTGCAGGGCAGTATTCTGAGAGGTGAAAGGCTTCATATCTCATTACCCATCCCCATCTCAGCTGCTTTTCTTCAATCTGGACACCGGATAAGTTACTGCTTTGTTTTAAGGAACAATTTCTATCCTTCAGACTGTGCTCTACTCTAGATCTTTTAGTCTGTATTTTATCTCCTTTAGATGAATACCACCAGTTCTGGTGACTAACTGTATTAACGTTTCTGATGTTGTTTCGTAGGGTCATCCTTTGAAAGTTCCATCTCTCTTAAGTGACCTCAAGCCTGTGGCAGGAATTTATAGGCAGACGGGGAAGAATTACGAAAGCCCTTACACTCACTGGTTATGTGGCAAAAGAAAATAAAAAGTCCTAGTATACAAGATGAGCGTTCTGGGAAAATCACGCCTGAGTTAAATAGTCTGTATACCGGACCTCCTGCAGGGGGGAGAAGAAACTCATCTATCGTCTATTAAATGAGTGAAATACAAAAGTGCTGGGCGTCAGCACAGCTGTAGAATAGGGTTATGGGCGATGGCCTACAGCTTTACTATGTGTCAAAGGGGTTTATAGGGTTGGGAAAGGCTTCACAGAAGCTGGTAAGATATTAAAGCTGGATTATCACTAGTATCTAAGGGACAAAGACTGAGCTACAGTTAAAGCTTGCAGGAAGGAGGAGGGAATTAAACAGAGGTGATCAGATTTTATTTGTCCTGACTTTAGAGGTGTCGCTTGTCTCTCAATTAACAAACAAAACCTGTTTTTCTAAAAGTGGGGATGTGCTAAAAAACACACTCTCTGCACAAACCCCACTTACCTTCTGAAAGATCCCTTTTCCCCGACATGCAAGTGGTGTGAATCTAGCATAAACTCTGTTCAGAGTACGGAAAAATCCTCCAGTTTATGCACATGGGCAAGATAATTCTTTATTTGCATTGCTTATCTGAGATTCCAACAGCTGATCTCAGAGAAAAATTAGTTCTAAACTAGTGTATGTTATGTTAGCTTTTGTTCTTTTTTGGAGGTGAACGTATTTAACTTTACCCAGAAAGATTAATTGTACTTAATTTAATACTCTTCAATGATAACATGTTACTTGAGGTTGCAGTTAAGTTTTATGTTCTCTAGGATTTATTTCCATTAAACTATCCCACACAGGAATACAAGTTAGCCCTTTTCCCCCAAAAGTAGGTGGACTGGAGCTTTTATAACTTGGAAAAAGCTTTAAGTTTGCATGTTACCAAATTCTTGGTATATTGTAATGATACATTTTGCCTATTTCCTGTGTGTATTTAGCTGCTTCTTCAGATTTGACTGGTATACTCTAAGTATTTATTGTATATTAACTATCTTTTAATGTCATTTGTTTTTCTGGTTACAAAGTCAAGCACTCAACATAAATCTGGCATTTCCTAGCTTTTAAGTTTCCCCTTGTGTACTGATTGAAGCAGGGGTCCTGCAGAAAAAACAGCATGTGATAATACAATTAAAGACTTTACCATAACACAACATAACACAAGAATTAGGGGTCACCAAATGAAATTAGTAGGCAGCAGGTTTAAAACAAATAAAAGGAAGTATTTCTTCACATAGCGCACAGTCAACCTGTGGAACTCCTTGCCAGAAGATGTTGTGAAGGCCAAGACCATAACAGGGTTCAAAAAAGAAGCACCATAATTAATAGGCACCAGGGAGCCAAATGAAGGTTGCATTGGCAGCCCTAAAACTGGCATCTCCTAACCTGCAAGTGCTAGGCTTTGCAACCCAAACTATTTTTAAATGTAGCTTTTTTAAAGGAAAAAAGTAAAAACATTTTATGTACAACTGTAAGAACTTACACCCCCCATTCCTGCATCATTATGATAATTTGAACCCCAAACTTTCAGCGATGCAAAACAAACTACCACCTGAGCTACAGGACTAACTACATTAGCTGGCTGCAGAAGAAGGCTATTATCCTAGAGGAGGAGTGGAACTATGTGCTGGATCCCTGGAGGTGGTTGAGGAGCCTGACTTTTGGTATGTTTTCACTACTCGCCGGATTGGCGGGCAGCGATCGATCCAGTGGGGATCAATTTATCATATCTAGTCTAGTCTAGACACGATAAATTGATTCCCAAGTGCTCTCCCGTCGACTCCTGTACTCCACCGCGGAGAGAAGCGCAGGCAGAGTCAACGGGGGCGCAGCAGCAGTCGACTCACCGTGGTGAAGACACCACGGTAAGTCGATCTAAGTATGTCGACTTCAGCTCCGTTATTCACATAGCTGAAGTTGCGTAACTTAGATTGATCCCCCCCCCCGCCCACCTCAGTGTAGACCAGGGCTTAGATTTCTCTGTCCCCTCCACTTTGGGAGGTGTAGCAAGCTCCCCAGAAATGGATGAGATGCTGGGTCTGTTTGGCTGAGGGCATGGGGGAAGCCCCATCTAAGCTCTTCCCCCAAACCCCACTGCTATAGCTACTCTGGCAGTTCCCAGTGTACCCAGTTGTGTGCGCTGCAGTGGGATGGACTTGGCTCTTAAAACTTTCGAATTCAGTTATTATTTTGACACGCTGCCAGCATTTTCCTGAGGAATTCAAGAGCGAGAAGGGAAATGGCAATTTTAAACCATTTATAACTCCGCCAAACCTGAATGGAATTTCATGGGACAAGTAAAAGGCACATCTCTAATCCAAGCATTTGGCTCTGCCAAATTTAAATACCTAGAGGTGTTACAGTTTCTCAGAACACCTGAACAAACCGGCAAGAATCTTCTACAATAGAAAAGCTGTTAGGCAGCTTACATGGAGGGGTTGTTACCAGCTCCCATTACAATAACTTTATTATCTGACGTGTGCTATTTCTTGGATTTTCTGGAAACAAACAAACAAACAAACAAACCACCTCACGGAATTGAATTGAACTGAAATAGCACTAAACCTTTCCCTGATTCAGTGTTGCTCATTACACAGTAATAACAAACATGTTCTCCCCACCCTGCTGGCCCCTGAGGATCCCAGTATCATTCTGTCTGTACACTGTGAATTCCGCTATCCTACCAGTCTAGGCCAAAAGTCCCTTTGCAGTCTGTTAATGCTGTTCTCTCCATTGCTGATCTCCACTATGGCAATAGAACACAGTGGCCTTCTTTGAAGTACAAATATTTACTGGAATAAAGGCACTTCAATGGGGAGGTATATGGGATCATACAAGAGGGGGATTTTACCTAATACATCGTGTGCGCAAAGTGGTTAAAGAAAGAGAAGGGTCAGTTAAGTGAGGCCTTCCTTCCATCCAGCTGTAGTAAAAAGACCCTGATTGTCATTTAATTACATTTCCTTAGTACTGTGCCATTCTTATTTTGGCCAAATCTGTTTCCATCAGTTTAATAGGATCAATCACTAATTTCAGTTAAACAAATGCCTTGTGAAGGTGCATGTCACAGCTTGTGCTTATAATGTCCATAACAGTGTTTGAATAATGCAAGTTTTAGTTGCACTCAATCACCTTTATCATCAGCACAGACATTTTTCTTTAGCTTCCCCCATTCTCAACACTTTTCTCATTTAAAATTTTTGCATTCTCTATTAGGGATCTGGGGCAAAAAATGGGGATTTGGTCCTGCTTTGACCAGGGGGTTGGACTAGATGACCTCCTGAGGTCCCTTCCAACCCTGATATTCTATGATTCTAATTAAATGGCAACTTTCTATAGGCAATGACTGAATTACAATACCAGCCTAAAGAGCCCAACATTGATCAGAATAAAGGATGAAAGGATGTTAATTTATTTTTATACTAATGACTTGGTTCCAGAGGTTTTTTAATAAACTAAATGGCTGATCAAATTAGGCAGTGACTGAATCAAGTATTATTGCAATATAGCTGTAGAAAATCATTATTAACACCTCTTCCAACACACCTACATCAATGTTAGGGTCTTTTAGTACTCAAGCCTCTTGAGCTACTCTCCTTGAGGATGCTGATCTATAATAGTTTTCATAATTACCTCTGCAAGCAAGACTCTTCCAGCCAGGAACTTTATGAACAGGTGAATACATTTTACACACACTGATTAGGTATTCAGTTGAGACATAGCTTTTATATTTTCATATATGAGCCAAGGGGTCAAATTTTGCCTCTCCACATGACTGCCCCCAAAACAGAGCTATATACACGCAGCATTACTGTGCATCCATAATCTTACTGGTAGCACTCTCTGCATAGCCTTCCAAATGACCTGTTTCTATTAACTGGCAAGGTAATACTTAGTTGTGCTGACTATGCCCTGGGAGGTCCTTTGTCTTAGCTTTGGATTGTCCCTGACAGCTCCTTTATTTTAGATGGAACTGAATAAGGGCAGAAAACATCCACCCCACACACTCCCATTGCCCTTGGTTTTAACGGTGTGCACATATGCAAGCTGGAATGTGGCTTTGTGTGTTAGGTACATCCTGCTATAGTACTCTCACTGAGACTGAAAGTGCAGCACTGAAATTTCTAGGTTTAACAGGTTCTGGATTTAGGCAAGGCAAATAAACTGAAAATTGCAATTAAAACTTAAAAGGACAGTCAAGTATTTTATAGTTAACTTTTTAAAATCCCCTAACATTTGTGATACTCTTTTAGAAAAATACCATTTCCCTCTACTTGTGGAAAGCATTGTTTTCCCACTCCACTGTCTCTTAGACCACAAGCCATAACTGATCTGCCAGGTTTTCTTCCCTGTTGTTTATAAGCATCATTGAGAATATCACCAGTGAAGTTAGCAGAGTTCTAGAAATGCAATGTTCCATTAAGAACAGACATAAACCCACGGTATTTTACAGTAGTAGTATTATTTGCTAACAGTATAACTCTAGAAAGAAGCAAAAGATATATAAACATGAGTCTGGGAAAACCAAAGGATTATACAAATGCATATAAAGTAATGTAGTAAATTCAGTCTTTACATTTGTTTTAATTATTTACAGTTCCCTCCAATACAAGTTACTTACTTGGTCACATACATGTGACCTGAGTGGCTCCATCTTCCTGCTCGAACTGTCCATCATCCAGTTCCCTTAACACACTATCGCTGCTATTGAATCCTGAGAAGCTTTCATATGGGGCAGATCCCTCCTTGCTCCAACATGGTTTAAAAGGAGACAGATGAAACTCATCAGGTGGATGCCCACTTTCTGCAGGGAGAGATGTAGCTGTGTCTAATCCAATACTTCTGCTAGAGACTTTGCCTTTCTCGTCACTTCTGAGCTGCCTTGTGGATTTCTTCTGAAACACAAGAGATGTTTGAGCATTGAGTTAAATAGAACAGGCAAAAAACTGAGTTAGAACCTGGATTTCGGAATGAACAGCTAAAAGGATTAAAAAGGTTCCACACCAAAAAGGTATGAATTTAATTTAAGGAGTAGTTACAGAGGAGATTTATGTGACACCACAGGAATTTTTTGTTCCAGAATATAGCTGCCCTACATTACAAACTCCTTTGGAGTATAGAAATGAGAAATAAATATAAAGAATAAAACTTAAGAAATAATTTATTCAGTTTGAGAAAGAAGAAAGTAATTGCCTCAGATTAAAAGGCAAGCAAAGACACTGTACAGGACCAAGGTTAGAGCAAGCACACGGACCCATGTTAACAGAAAGTAGCTGTTATATTACTTATCACTTATATAGTACTTTACAGATTCAGAGCCATTTACAAACATTAACCAACTATTTCTCATTTCACCCCTATGAATAGGCATAATTATTTCTATTTTGTAGTTGAGAAAACTGAGGCACGGATAGGTTAAATGAGTTGGCCAAGGTCACACAAAGTCAGTGTCAGAGCCAAGATGAGAACACAGGAGTTCCTGACCCCTTGTGCCATTCTCAAACCATTAGACAGAATTAATTCTCTCCTATACAGTTTGAACTGCACCCCTTTTTCCTGCACCCCTTCTGAAACTATTAAAAAATGTCCCTTTTGGCTAAAGGAAAGGGATGTGGAGGTGATTGATACATGACAGACTGTGAATTAAGACGAAAGGGAAGTAGTGGCCCCTGGAGAAAGAGAAGGGAAATAGGTTTTGTTTGGCTGCCTCAGTGAGGCGGTGGCGAGGCCTGCACGAAAGGAAGGAAAAAAGTAAAATAAAACTTTGTGTATGGGTCAGTGTCAGAGCTTTATCATTCAAGGTTGCTTTTCTGACTTAGCTGCACCACCCTCTGAACCATTTGCCGAGGGAAACAAATGTTATAACTCTGATTAGACAAAAAACATTAAAATAATATGGCCCTGTAATCCAAGAGGCCATTGAAATATTACACATCTTCAGGTAAAGTAAGGAAATCATGGGCCAGACAAAACTCTACCATCCCATCATAAAGCCTGAAGTGGGGGAGAGAGGAAATGGACAGTTCCTAATTAATGCTTTTTTCAGAGTGGGGGGGAGGGGGAGGGGGCCTGTGGAGCCACAGGACAAGTTTGGGGCATTTTCCCCAAAACCGTGCAGATGCTTGCTGCTGAGAAAAGTAAGCTGCATATACCAGCTGCTATCTGGGGTTGGGCTTCCACACCCTTTGCAGTAGAAGGGAGACAGGGGCTGATATTTACAGTGTTGCCAACTCTCATGACTTTTACTATGAATGCTGTGATATTTGGTGTTTTTCTTAAAGCCCCTGCTGCTAGAATCATGTTATTACCTGGTAATCTCAACTTTCTTAGAAAACAAAAATAAAGTGCATTTCTAGCCCTTATAGTTGCAGAGAAAAGCTTAAAACTTGTGAACCCTAAAGACTCCAATATGAGAAAGCAAATAAAAAGAACCTCAAAATTACTGATTTTAAAATTTCATGATTTTTAAGCCAATCTCATGGTTTCTGGAGCTTGACTCATTATATTTAAATGATGGAATAGGCAATACTAAGGCTGTTTATTTACTTTGTGTCATTCAGCCAGTTTAAACACTGAAGTAACCTAGTCAGTTTCACTTTCTGACTGTCAAGGGCTATATTGTGCTGGAATGTTGAGCTGCAAATGCTTTAGGGGGATGTTTAGACCCAAACAAAAAAACTGTTTCCATCAGAATTTTATTTTTAAACAACAGACAATTCTCTTGTTTTCATAAAGCCTACATTTTGGGCCTAAAGAGGTTTCTTGAAAAACTACAGCTTCAACATAATGCAAACTTCACAACAGCCATCAGAAAAAAGACATAGGAATAAAATATAAGTCAAAGTGTAATCCTCAGCACCATGGAGGTCACCTAGGTCTCTCTAAGCAAAAAGAAACATTAATTTGCCAGTGTTTAATACCTCACGTATATCAGATTATAACTAGCCCATGCAAGGATCACCTTAATGAGAATTTATTCATGAAGGGTTTCTAGGGCAGAGGTTAAAAATGGAGAATGCTTCAGATCTCAATAACTGAGTTTATACCTGAAATCTATCTGCATAGTACACAGCTTGAGAGACAGATTACATTAGTCAGGCAGAATTAGTAAACATATGGATTTCATCCCTTAAATGGAGGTATATAGAGTTAAGAATTGTTTGGTTGCTAATCCATGGTCATTTTGTTGAAATGATTTATCCTTTATGACATTTTGTCTCTTTAGTCAAGTTTAAGATTTAGACAAAAATCAGGTTATAAATGGAAAAAACAGGAAAAGTTTAGAAAATGCTATTCAGCTCCAGACTGAACCACTTACTCATTCCACACTGAAATTACCTCAGTGCATTGAGATTTCCTGCTAGAGAAACAAAACATTCATCAGTGCTAGAAGGGGCATGTGTATTTAGATACTGAGTTCTTTTATGTTTTAAATACACTGGTCCCATATGAGAATAGGTAGATACACATCAACTATTCCTTATTTACAGACTTCCTGTACATTAATATTTAAGCCAAGGCATTCAGATTACAATGAAATAAAAGAATGGCTACAGCACACCCTCTCCTTATGGTTCTTTAACTCAAAGGATGTAAAGGTCATCTAACTGCTGATTGTCACAAGATTAGGTGATGCAGAGAATTTAAACGGGTGGGTACAAATGTCTCCTGTCTTGAACTTCAAGCACGTTTACAAGATTGATCAGTCACTCAGATGGATTATTTTTAACAAACTATATAGTTTACTTGGCTTGTAAACCTCTCACAGTGGGAACCTGTCTTAATTGTTCTATAATTGACCATGAGCAGCTATGTTGCTTTATAGGTCATGGTGAAGATAATAATAATAATTAACAGTAGTGTGTGTGGTGTATTACAGATATACAGGAAGACAAGGTCCTTGAGAGATTATTTACAATCCAAATTATACAGAATGCAGAAAAAAAAACACAGGGAAAGGAAAAGTTCAGAAAAGTCACATAGTTTGGTTTGTTAACAACTAACACTGATTTGGAACGAACAAGATGTCCTTTTAAAAAATTTAATGAGATAAATTATTAAGAGTTTAATGTCAGGAATGAGAAGAGTAAATAACAGGATTTGAAGAGTATAACTGAGGATGTTTGGCGTACTGGAGGAAGGAAACTGTTCCAGACAAAGGGGCAGTGTGAAAAAAGTTGCAAAGCAACAAGCTGGAGACAAAAGACAAAGGGTGCATTAAAACCTGAGGTGCTGGCAAAAACTAAGAGGAGGAATATGTTGAAGCCTATTGAGATGTAGGCAAGGGCGACAGCATACAGAGTCTTGAAGGCAAGGAGTTCATACTTTGAGTAAAGAGACAAGAAAGCAGTGAAAGGATTAAAAAAATGCAAGTATGTAGATGAAGAGAATGTGACATTATTGGAGATAACAATTTGAGCTGTACATATTTATTTAAGTGGAAAGGGAGGGACAAGAGGCAGGGTGCTTTTGCATCAACAGTTTTAGGTAATGATTTTTAGTTTCATACAGAAGCAAACTAGGATTTGAAATCAGGGAATAAAGAGTGATAGAATGAGCCTTAACTATAGAAAGTTAGATGCAGGTTTCTGGAGGATATTAGCAGTTGTCTCAGTAATAGGTTGCATTGTGGTTTTTTAGTTTAGTTTAGTTTTTCCCCTTCTTGACTGGTTTGCATTTTATTTCAATTTTTCTGTAGCAATGCAGTTAGTTAATAAGTGAAGCAGTACATGGATGAAAACAATATCTTGTATATAGCCTAAAAGCTATTATTTAGACTGAAATATTGTTTCCAGAGTTAATCACTTCTCTGGTTGGATATCCTGTAGCTTGTTCCATCAAGAACTTTGGAAAGCCTTTCAGTGCACTGCAACCATACAAATTCTGCTGGTATTCCACATCAAAAAGAAAACTTCATTCTGATCTCAAAACTCATTGAGAAGAATATGCAAGTGATAACATAATCTTTAGGTGAGCTGTGTGACAGGACATGTTACCACATGAAAAAAATGTGTTAACAATAAAAGACCTAAAAGTAGCCCCTGCAGCAGCTGAAGTTCAGCTGCTCCCTGTTCCATTTGGGAAACTCCCTCCTTGTAGCAGCACTATAAAAGGCACATTGAGCATCACACAGCTGGTGGTAATAATCACATGCTGTCAAGGGCCAGAGTTGCACCAGCAGTTGCAGATATGGAGTGCAGTAAATTCTGGCATCCACACAGCCCCAGCAGGGAAGGCAGGACAAATCCTGCACTGGTGAGCTCTCCTTTGCCAAATAGCTTTGTAAATCTCTACCACGGACCTTCCCTTTTATTTTCTTTCTGGCTTTCATGTGCAGGTCACACTTTCCCCCTAGCTAGATTTGCCTCTACTTTGAGCTAGCATTCTCAGCCTTGTAAGACACTGCAGAAATGTTCATCTGTATCCAGCCCCAAATTAGCAACTTCACAGATAAACATTATTGTAATAGTTTTGTGTGATATAATAAGACAACTTCCCTGTGTCCATCTGTGTTGACAACTCCATTAGCCTCCCAGAATCTCAGGCTCACCACCTTGGAGTCATATTTGAACCCTCCCTGTCCTTCTCTCCTCACATCCAAGCTGTCACCACATCCTGTACTAATCTCCCACTCCCTCTCTGATCCTGGTCCATGCCCTGATTATCTCTTGCCTAGACTAGCATAACTCAGACCTCCTCCCAGACCTGAAGAGCTCTGTGTAAATTCAAAAGCTTGTCTCTCTCACCAACAGAGTTGGTCCAATAAAAAAGGTATTAACTCACCTCCCCTTCTACCTCCTCTCTCTGACTTTAGCCACCAAAAGCTGTCCATATTCAACTATCTCCTTATACTGACTCAGTAAGAACATAATCTTTACTCACCTCTGGGGTCTGGGTGTTTGAATTCCACATAACAGGTCTCTGAAGGAAAACAACTTGCTTTGTGGCCAGATTTCCTTCACTGCAAATTAAAGCAGATAATTTGAGTGTTTTTAGAGGGAATAACATTTATTTGTCACTTGCTTTTGATTTATCTAGACTTTCAGGATAACTACATTTTATGATGCAGACACAACATATGCTATAGAAGGCATTGGAAGTATCGCCTATAATTAAGGTTGTCTAACACTTTCTTGTATAGGCCCTGTTTTCAGTTGCTTTTAATTTTGCCAAACTTTAACCATTTGGGCTGAAAATTTCCATGCCAGTCCTTGTGTTGGTCTGAAGTTTTTTGGAAAGTTTTAGATGAAATAATGCAGTCATTTATGAGGCAGAGATTAGGGAAAATGTTGTCTTGCTCATGTTAAAAAATTCTTACAAACTCCTTTATTGAGAAGCTGTAATGATGCCATAGGTTAGCGCAGGGACTTGAAATTTGGCTGACGGTGGTGGAAAAATGGGGTGTCCTTGTGGCAGGAATGTTCCTTTTATTGCCCCATGAAAATCTAAGATATAAACTTCTGAAAAGTGCAGCTCACATGCCGAATAGAGATTTGTTAGAGTTTGTCAATATCATTCTCCAAAAATTTTGTCTGCACTTAGCATTCCCCATACTCTCACAGCTCCTATGTATCGACTATAATGAGCATGCTCCTTCTCCACAGAACAACTGAGCATGCTCTATCCCCGGGTTTGGACAATGGAGAGGAGGACTTTTCCTTCAATTAATCACTGTTCCCGGCCGCTGGGGGCTGTTGTGGCACCAGAACTGACAGTAGAACGATTCTCTCTCTCTCTCTCTCCATGCTCCTGCTGCTAGTGCCTAGGCAGTGAAGAGGAAGCTACCTGATCTGAAGGAATACAGAGAGGTGAGGAGCAAGTTGGGGGTAGGGATGGATCGATGCAGAGGGGATCAGAGAAAGAGAATAGTGGGTACAGAGACAGAAGGGTCTATAGGTCACTAAACCACACTCCCTCTAAAACCTGGAATCGAATCCAGGATTCCTGAGTCTCCACATTCCTCTGTTGTCAAATAGCTGTTAAACACACTGGCTAAATCTGTCTCTCATCACCCTCTAGTGGCTGAGTCACATAGAGGATAATAGCCTACTATTGCTGCCAGTTTCAGTTAGCTCATGTGGTAGAAGCCTGTATACTCACAGACAATCTTAAATCTGGCATTTCCTAATTTTTTAGTACTTAGTTTTGCAACCTGAACATTCATATAGTTTGTTTTTGTATGCAACACACACATATACACACACATCTATGTAAATGCATTTTGTACGTGTGTGATTGTGAACACCTCTAATAAGTTTTCACCTCTGAGAATGATTAACTTTGAATATTAAGACTTTGTCATTTATTCTTTTTTCTCCCCTGTGACATTCCCAAACCAACTATCATCATGGCACTTTAACCTTCCCAAAGATAGCTGGGGAACTTGAATCCTTCTGAAATGATTTTCAGGAGTGCTCACTGGATTAGTAGGCAGGGGCTGCTTTGTGACTGATGTTGACTGAGCAACAATTTTTATTATGCATGAAGGTCTCTACGGGCTTGTCCACACAGTGTGGTGGTGCACATCCGTGCACAATTCTAATGTGCTCCCATGTGTTGTGCACTAAGTGGCCCGTGTAGACCCTGCTGGTGTTCACTAAAAGTTCCCTAGTGTGCATTAATGTAGTACTGTTTGAAATGGGTCTATATTAACATGCACTAGGGAATTTTGAGTGTGTGCCAGCAGGGTTTACACAGGTCAGTTAGTGAGCCACGCGTTGGTGTGCATTAGAATTCACACCCCTCTGATGTGCACTACTGCCCCACATAGACAAGCCCTAATGTATTTGCTACTGTGTACTACCAAGTTTTTATGTGGAACAACAACAACAAGAAGTATGAGAAGAATCACCAGCATTTTCTAAGATACATGGTGAGTGCCCAACCTAGAATATCAATAGTTATTGATGCAATTAATTTATACATAACTCAGTATTTTTAAAGATGGCAGCGGATAATGGGATTGACTCTAATCACCTTTTAGCATGACCGTAACTCCCAGCGGTAAGGGGAAAAGAAGGATATTTCTCATTCAGGATAGAGTTCATTTAAAATTGCTTTGATAGAAGAGCTATTTTATGCTTTCAGGAGGAGATGTTAACAAAAACGCTACATTGCCATTTTCAAAGCACTGTTCAGATAAACGTTTGAACTTGAATTTATTTAAAACATCCATCTGAGATTTAATTCCAACAGTATCTTTCTTCATGATGAGCTAGGACATGCCATTATACTATTTTTATATTATTCAGGACTCCTCTGATTGAAAGAAGTCAGACAGTTATACTTATTCTGCATTCTTTCTTCATTATAAGCATTTTTCTTTGCCCACATATTGTATGTACTCCAGGCTGTTGTTTCACTACATGAAGAAATTAATTAGCTCAGATACTTGTAAAAGAAATAAATGCCATGTATTTTCGGTTATTCCATACTCTGATTATTATACACTGGACCAAATAATTGTGTTCTCAGGTACACGGGTGTAAATTTCAGTTACGGTGGAGTACCTCCACTGACTTCAATGAAGATGCTTTGCATTCACACCAATGTAAGAACTGAGCCTTTCCTATAATTTAAAAAAATTGGACTCAAAAGAGGAAATTCATCCCTTCTCACTGTGTTTCTGCCTTCTCTTTATTCTTTAAAAGAGAAATGATCCTAATCATCAAGGGGTGCACAAATCTCAAAATGTAGCTGAACTCCACAGCCACCTGTGTACTCTGGAACTCAGCTCTTCAGTGATTCACTTACATGGTAGCATGCTAGGGAGAGAGGAGAGTTTGTGATTAAGTACAGTGGGAATCTATGGATCAAAGTAGTAGCTGAAATCCAACTGAGCCTGGATAACCTATACCCTGACTGTGGGCTGTGAGGTGGAGAATTTTATCTTTTCTTTTGCATTTACTCGGGCTTTTCATGGGAGAGTACAATTTCACCCACACTAAATGTTATGTGTGTATTTATTTTAACACCCCAGTGATTTTCAGGGCAATTTAACGTGATCTTAAAAGATGTCTGTGAATTCACTACAAAGCTGAGACATCTTTTGTGGTTGACACTTAGGATCTCTCTGTGGCGCAGCAGAGTATCTTTGATGTGACCTTTGATTTAGCTGGGACAGCCCAATAGTTTCTAGGATTGCCTGCACTATGTAACATTTGAAATTATTTTCTATTTGTTCACATGCAGCCCAGATTGTCTAACTAGTACAATACTGCCCTGTTATCAGCCTGCCAAGATAAGCTGACTTTAACGAATCCTATGGCTCATGATTGTCAAGGGATGCTGAAAGTATGAGACACCGGTTACAGTGTATCTTTGTTCCCCTCACATGTTCCTGAAATGTAAAAAACATATTGACTTTTATTTGTATGCATGCAGTTAAATATAAATGCAGAAGCAAAGAGAGTTGGATGAGTAAATTCCACTTCAGAAATTGTTATATATTAGGAATTATCTACTATAATGTTTAAAGATATTCAAAATGATGAATCCATCTTACTGGAAGTTCCAAGTGTCAGTGTTTCTACTTTAGCACTTTACTACTACAGTGTTAACATTCACGTTTCAATCTTTTTAATGTTGCTCCTGAAAGTCAATGGGACTTTCTTTCTTTCCCCTTCCTTTCTCTAACAAACTTATAGACAGACACAGTTAAAACCAAACACACTCCACTGCACACAATGCATCCGATGAAGTGAGCTGTAGCTCACAAAAGCTTATGCTCTAATAAATTTGTTAGTCTCTAAGGTGCCACAAGTACTTTTCTTTTTATGGATACAGACTAACACGGCTGCTACTCTGAAACTTCTCCCCTGGGGAGAGGATCAGAGAACAGACACATGACAGATATTAGTCACGTTGCTTAGTGCAATGCTGGAAAGTGCTCAGATACTAGGGTGAATCATATGGTATACAACAGAATAGTGGTCCTAAGTCATTTAGGTGCTTTTGAAAATCCCACGCTAAATGAATTTACTACTGATGAAAGGTGCCAGATGGACAGCCCTAGTCTGGTGGCCTCTATGAAATCACAAAACAGCTGCAGCGTGATCTGTAGGAATGCAAGTTGCCCCACTACTGTACATAAACCCTACCCACAATGGGCTGCCTGTGTGCTGAGGGGTCAGTTCTGTCTCTGCCCCCTTTGCTGAAACTCTGCAGTGGAACCATGGCAAGGGCACATTGTTTAGGATCTTCCGTCTCCAGTGAGCGATGGGATGGCCTCTGTATTTGGCCTTTAAAGCTGTTTCATTCTGCTGGTCTACAGACTCAGTACTGTATTGGTTCATGTTCAGAAGGAAAGTTTTCACAACTATAAGAGCTAGAAACTTAATTTTTAAAAGCAATTAAAGCTTACGTTTTGCAGAAATTGATAAGGCCACAAGATAAGTGCTGGTACCACCATGGAATGGCCCATTTTGACCCAATCCAGGTCTTTAACAAATGTCCTCAGATTCCCTTTGTGGCTCTGTATCTGCTTATACTTTAATGAATAGAAAACACTGGAAATGGCATATTTTGCTGGTGACTAAAAACTGTTTCTTGGTAGGAACTGGGCAGTAACAGGGCCAATGTGAGAAGTTTGCACTGCTACTTCTGTGGATAAAGCAGCTATTATAAGCTCTAAATCCACAATAAAATAATAATAATAATAATGGCTCAGACCATTTCCTATGTGGGAAATACTTTCATAGGAAACTTTTACATAGGGGAAGAAGAAAATATATTACTATTTTTGGAATCACCAGATACCAAATAGTAACATAATTATTTTTGCTGTATACAAATCCGTTCTGGATAACATGCAATGAGGCTTCTATGTGTATAACAAAATGTGCTGAAATATCTGGGAGGGACACAGTATTTTATCCGTAGCACCTGCCCCCCCAATAAAAAAAGGTTGAATATCACTTTAATGACTGATTCTGGACTTTAAGTAAATTTGTCCACTTTTAATAAAGCGAGATAAATGAGCTTCTGTTCCAAACTCACCATTTCCTTTATTTAATGATGAAATCCCTACACTTTTTTTTGCGGGGGGGCGGGGAAGAGAGAGTAAAGGTCCCAGTTGTCTATGCCCAGGTGACTACTACTGGAAGATAAGTGGTAAGGTGGAACAACAGCATGTACAGCCTTATTTAAAATGGCCACTGCTATATATCGGGGACTGTTTCACATACTCATAGTTTTGCCTTTGCACACTTTTCTTGGATGGGGAAAATAAACAATCTTAACAGACTCTGTGTTGCGGAATACAGCCCTCTGGAGGGGATGATACTGTCAGTTTCCCCAAGCTACTAATGCTTCTTGATCTGGGAGTTGCCTAGCTTCATGACCTCCCTGAATTAAGAGGAGAGTCAAATACTACAGACCTCTGGTGTGACCAACCAGTCTGTTTCTCAGGGTCTTCATGCATCTTGGTTGGGATTTGGTCTGAGAGCTTCCTGGCTCTTACTCCCTGGAGTAGGGAGTTAGTAGCTCCTTCCTTTGGAGAGTATGTATGCACTGCAGTTGGGAGCGTGATTCCCAGCCTAGGTAGACAGACACATGCTAGCTGTACTTAAAAATAAATAAATAAAAAATAGCAGTATGGATGTTGTGGCACAGACTAGCCCAGGGAGACATGTGGGCTTGTACTTGGGTATAGACATGCCCCAAAAGGCCCCCACCCACACACTTTCCTCCTGCTTAAATGCCTGCCTCAAGGATAAGAGGTGGGAATCCTCTCTTTCAGGTTGAATGGTTTCTCTAGCATGGGGCAGGGCCTCTGCCTGATTTAGAACTTGTACATCCCATCTTGTATACAGGAATGGAAAAACAAATAATATTAAGCTTTTAAATGTTTAAACTCTGATCAAGAAAAGGGGAGATGGTGAATGCTGGGTAGGTAACAGGCAAACTAACAATTTTTAAAGTCCAGCCTTATTGAAATGCTGCACACAACAAAACAGCCATGGGCTTAATTCACAACAGAATTGAATGACAGTGGGATGGCCACAGAATTTAAATTAGAAAGAGAAAAATACATAAAATGAGCTATTTCAAGTTTTCCTCTCATTCCCAAGTTCCCTCTTTCTCCTGGGCCCAATGCATTATGAGAACTTAGGTTAAGTAATAAATGACAATACACTAATTACAGCAATGTCATTTTTTTTGCACTATATTTGCTTTCTGGTGCTTGTAGACTGTCTGTCCTGCTCATTTTCAGGGACTGCAGTAATCAGTGAGGGGAAATAAAGGTCACTATAAAGTAAAGCTGCTGAAATCTCTGTAGGGGAGATGTTTTTCCTTTTTTTTCCCCCCAGCGTCCTTTTTGGCAGGGTGGTCATGGGAGAGCAGCACAGAGACTATTTTGTTAATCCCACTGGCAATTTGTTTGTCTGTTTATGGTGTGTGGGCAATAAATTTGTCCTCTTAATACACATATGATCATTAAAGCAGTCCTTTAAAAAATTATGGAGCTTGTTAAGGTTGCCACCAGCTCTGATACTAAGATACTATTTGTCATGCTTGAATATAGTGTATGTGGGTGATACTATCATGCAGGATATTTCAAATGTTTAAGATGAAGTTTAGGGACGTTTCCTAGGAAAAGAAGGCAAGAAGCTGGGTTGTAAATTCTAATCCCAAACTCAGTTTGTTTATGATCCTGAAAATAATGCTGTGCCATCAGTTTGAGTTAAACAACATTCAGGCTTTCCAACAATCGTGGATTAGTTTGGAGAGTTCAGTCTCTCTGCTTTCAACTGGAGAGTCTGCTACTACAACAGGGAAAATTCTTCAAAAAATGATGCAGAAGAGATTTAATCCTAGACCCCCAGGACTCTGTTAATCATGTGAATTTAGAGTAAATCTGTATCAGTAACTATCGCAGCATTAGGCATTGTTGGGTAGATTTCCCCGCAAAAGCTTTATCCACCAGTAAGAAGAGAGGCAACACATTTCATTCCTAAAATTACTAATAATATTATCCTGAGCATCTGAACTTTTGATAATTCTCAAGATCTGGCAAATAACTTCTGAGTGTGAAAAATGTTTTCTTACATTTCAGGTTTTATTTGTTATTTTATTTGTTTATTAATTACCTTTTTCTTTAATAAGCAGTCCAGAGAATGCTAATACCCTTTACTTCATATTCAGAATGATAACAAGTCTTAACTCTATTTTTGTTCTTGCCCTTACCAAGGTTCAGTTGACCCCTCAGCTATTGCTATCAGAATAATAGCATCCATCAATATCTCAAATATTTTAAAAAGTCATGTCAGGTATCCATTTCTCCAAGACACTCTCCACTGTACTCCAACAATACAATCACAACAATGCTGATCCTCTGTGGCAAATACTGTACTAATTACTACAAAGTCACTGCTTGTTTTTCAAACGTCATTGCAGAAACATACAGTGCTGTAGGTTTTAGATCCTGATGTCCAGCTTCTCTGCTATGGTTTTAAACAGCAAAGAAAACTGTTTAAAGGAAATATTTCCTTTGTCCCATGTGACCTTACCCTCGAGATGGGGAGTTAGAGGAGAGGGCAGTCTTGCCAGACTCTGCTCATCACTCCCTTTCCCAGATCTGAGACAATAATCCATGAACTGCTGCTGTCATGCCTTTATAGGAGCTTTTATTTTGTAAAGTAGAATATCTATTGCAAAAACAGGAAAATTATTAAAAGTTCCAGAAGTTGAATCTACAACTTCAGTGTATCACACCACACTGATTCAGATCAGAACCACATGACACAGAAAAGAAAGCCCAATCATCACATGATAAATCTGGCTAGAACCCAACCCTGTTTTCCTTAAATGTGAGTTTCTATGCTAACATTAATGGAAGGAGGATCAGCCAGTTTTATTAATGTCAGCTTTGAGACCATCACATCTCTACAAAGAAAAACAAACAATGAACATTAATGATTAATGCAGAGAATAGATTCTGTGTGATAAATTGGGACAAGAGTGAGAGAAAATAGAAAACTTTTAAAGAAGAAATTAAAAATGGAAAGCAGATTTTGCTGTAAACTAGTCTTTGCTTTTAAACAGAGTTTCATTAAGAATTATTTTATACAAGTTAACTTTGTTTAAAGACACGGAGAAATCATTTGCCAGAATTCTTAGTGCTCTACTAAATAACCTCCCAAAGTGCTCCATTTAATGGAGATAAAAATGCTAATTGTGACTGTTCTTAGCAGTGTAGGCTATTAGATACTGTTTCTGAAACCTGTTAATATTCTATCTTGGTTTTGAGGTCAGAGTTCAAAGTCTGGGAAAAGGAACAGCTGTACAGACCTCATAGAATGCTCTTCTGTATTCAGACTTTTAATTTGGATTCTTAGGATAATCTGATGATGGCATAATGCCTATCACACAAATACTAGCTTTTCAGGAATTTCCTCTTTTTTAAAAGATAGCTATATTGAGACCTGGAAATAGCAGTTATCAATATAAATTCTACTCAGACTGACGGGACAACACTTTCTTCTTTATAACAGTTTTATCAATTCACACTGTTCCTTTATACAGGGACTTAAAATGAATCTGATAGGCACTATATAAATGTAAGTGAATTTCTTCCAAAGGCACTTCACCAGACACCTCTACAACATGCTGCAGCTGAATTGAACAAAAAATGGTTATGTTTTATACAGCAAAGAAAAATGTTTTTAAAGAACTATTTCCTGTGTCCTATGTGACCTAACCCTCGAGATGGGGAGTTAGAGGAGAGGGCAGACTCGCCAGACTCTGCATATCCCTCCCTTTCCCAGATCTGAAACAATAATCCATGAACTGCTGCTGTCATGCCTTTATAGATTTAAAAACCTATGCATTAGAACAGTGGTTCTCAAACTTTTGCACTTTCACATAGCAGGCTTCTGAGTGCCCCAGCCCCCTTATAAATTAAAAACACTTTTTATATATTTAACGCCATTATAAATGCTGGAGGCAAAACGGGGTTGGGGTTTGGGTTGGAGGCTGACTGCTCGCGACCCCCCATGTAATAACCTCGCGACCCTCTGAGGGGTCCTGACCCTCAGTTTGAGAACCCCTGCATTATAAAGTGTGTGTGTGAGAGAGAGAATGAGTGAGAAGGAATTATCTGAAGTGACAAAAAAAATACACAACTAGTTTGCTATGAAAATAATGATGAAACATGGCACACTCATCAAAGGAGATGAACAGGTTCAATTTTCCTGGATTAGCACACGCCTTAATTTGCTATAAAGAGTATGTACCTGGTTTTATGGTAGTGTTGTTTCTTAAGTGGTTGAAACATGTTTCTATTCTCTCAGGCCCTGACTCAGCAAAACACTGCTGTGCTTAACTTTAACCATACAAGTTATCCCATCCTTATTCATTAAAGTCAAATGGAATAAGTAAAATCTTAAATGCTTTCCTAAATAGGAATGGGATTATTCTCATGCTTAGAATTAAGCACTCCCTTAAATTTTTTGCTGAGTTGAGGCCTCGGGGCCTAATCCAAACCCCTTTGAAGTCAATGGCCCTAAATCACAAGGCACATTTTTAAAATCCACAAAATCTTATCTAAATAAAGCTACTTACATCCTGAGTCTCATTAACATTTTTATATATTCTTCCTTATTGCATATAGATTAGTTATGTATACAGATATACACTCCGAGATTTCTATTTCTAATATATTCCAGAATTGCATATTTTATGCTTTAAGCTACTTTCTGGTTACCTGTCATGTCGGATGATCGGTGTAGGCAGTACACATGTAAGAAGCCATCCAAACTCAGCAAGCGTGTGCAGTAAAGGTCCATAATCTGTTTTAATTTCACATCCCTACATTAATAAACCAATATAAAAACAGTAAGTGCACTCTGCAGTTTTACCTTATTTCCATATATAATGTAACAAATTACAATTGACATTATTATTTTATTGAAATAATACCTTGAGGCCGGATTGTAATTGTGTTAGGCACTATACACCTATATAACAAACAGACAGTCCCTGCCTCAAAGAATTCACAATCTTAGTGTCAGACTATAGACAACAGGTGAATAAAACAAAGAGATGGGGGTATTAATTCGGTATATGGGCTTAGGACTAAAGCCCAAATTCTTCAAGATACTTCAGCAAGCACCTCGTGTGCTTAATGTTAGGTATGTACTTGAGTACTTTGTTGACTTGGGGCCTAACAGAAAATTTCCATTTTAATTATAATAGTAGAATAATCATTTTTAATGACATTGATTTTTTTAACCTGATTTTTGACTTTGCATTCTGAACAAACATGTCACTGAGTTAAGCTCAAAGCTAATGATTTTTGCAGGTAAAAATGTAAAGGAATAATTATTAAAAAACCTATCAGGATCTAGGAAAATATTATTTTAGGATCCTAAGAATCTGAGACCTATGCAGAAGGAAAACTGAACAAGTCAACTTCTAAATGTGCTAATTACTTAGAAACCTGTTTTACTATACAATTTTTCCACCTTTTTCCAGCAGCGGAGCACACATGAATGAGAGTGGAAAAAATGGCCTTAGGGATAGCTCAGTGGTTTGAGCATTGGCCTGCTAAACCCAGGGTTGTGAGTTCAATCCTTGAGGGGGCCATTTCGGGATCTGGGCCAAAATTGGGGATTGGTCCTGCTTTGAGCAGGGGGTTGGACTAGATGACCTCCTGAGGTCCCTTCCAACCCTGATATTCTATGATATAGGCAACACCAAAGACCTCTGGAATACCCAGGTATAAAAACAATTAACTTTTTCCTTCCCATGTGTGGTTTCTCCAGGACTGTGTCTCAACAATACTTCTTTGTGTAAGTATGCTGCACACTAACTTTTAGGCCCATTGTGGATCCTGCTGGCAAGCACTAAAAGTTCCCTAGGTTGCATTAATGTAGTACTGTTTGGAGTGGTGCTACTATGGCTTCTTAACAGGGCATCTCATCACAAATAGTTCATTTGGATCAAGAGTTTTTTCCACCCTTGCTTGGTCTCTAGTGCTTATAGGAGGACATCTGAACCCTCCTATAAGCACTAGAGACCAAGCAAGGGTGGAAAAAACAGGGGACTGATGCCTGGATCAAAGACTGAATTCCAACAGATACTACAGTTCCTGAAAGATGGCCGAGAAAAGGGCTAGTTGCCTTCATTTACTTGAATTGTTAAAAATTAAATTTATACTAAAAAGCAGCTGATCAGGCTTCAGGACAGCACTGAGTGGGGAGGAGTGGGGAAATTGGCAGCTTTGACTACAGTGGAAGCAGGGAACGAAGTAGAAGAAAAGAGAAGAGCAGTGTAAGTATACAAGGATCTTAGCTTTAGAAATTGAGATTATTTAATTACCAATCAAAACTAGATTTCTGATTACAGAATCACAGAAATTAAATATGGAAAAGAGATCTAGTCTCTCCCACTGTCAATGCAAGATCGTTTGTGAAAGTATGCTTCTTATTGATTTCTCCAGTCTACTTTTAAATATGTTAAGGATGAGGTGCAATGTAGTCCACAAATGTGAACGTGGAGAGGCCACCTTTTAAAAATAAATAAAATAATTTTTTTAAATTGCTTTTTCCTCTTGCTTGTCCTGCAGTGTTAACAGCCTATGACTGCATGAGCTGCAGAGTCTAGTGCACATCTGGGTATGGAAATTGTATGGCAGGCCATGAATGCTCACAAAATTGGGGGTTGGGGTGTGGGAGGGGGTGAGGGCTCTGGCTGGGGGTGTGGGCTGAGGAGTTGGGAGTGCAGGAGGGTCCTCTGGGCTGGGACTGAGGGATTCAGAGGACGGGAGGGAGATCAAGGCTGCGGCAGGGGGTTGGGGCATGGGAGGGGGTCAGGGCTTCAGGCTCTGGCCAGCGCTTACCTCAAGCAGCTTCCAAAACCAGCAGCATGTCCCCTCTCTGGCTCCTATGCGGAGGTGTGGCCAGGCAGCTCTGCGCGGTGCTCCGTCTGCAGGAGCTGCCCCTGCAGCTCCCATTGGCCGTGGTTCCCGACTAATGGGAGCTGCCGGGGAGGCGCTAGGAGCCAGAGAGGGGACATGCCGCTGCTTTTAGAAGATGCGCGGAGCGGGGCAAGCCCCTAACTCCGCTCCCTGGCTGGAGCGGGGCAAGCCCCGGACCCCGCTCCCCGGCAGGAGCTTGAGGGTCGGATTAAAATGTCTGGAGGGCCGGATGCGGCCCCGGACCATAGTTTGCCCACCTCCGTTCCAGTGTATGGGCAGAGCTACTGGAGAGAGGCAGAAGAACCAGTGAAAATATGTAAAAGGGCAACAAGGAATAAGGAGGAAAAAAAGGCATGGGGGGGGTGGGGATTCAGAATATATGAAAAGAAAAAAGAAAACAGGAAGTATAAAAGGGAAAAAGTGAGGCAAGAGAGAAAATGAACAGGATAAAAGACACCTCACGATCTGAAGCTAGTGGTCATCTGTACAGCTGGTCAGTAATATTCCATTGGAATGACTGTGATATGTAAGACCTCAAATCTTTTTCTTTGTCTGAAAACTAATGGATTTTCAATAAACATCTTCTGATGAAAACAAAGCTTTTAAAAAACTGCGAAAAGCTCTTGTGAGGAAGGGTAATATTTTCAAAAATACCGAAGTGACCTAGGAGTTTGAGTCCTATAGACTGTCAGTGAGGTTTAGGCTTCTAAATGCCTAAATTGCTTTTGAAAATGGGAATTGGGCTCCAAGGGCATTTAGGGCACTTTGGAAAATTTTACCTGAAATCCTTCCTTTGTGCACTACAAACAAATCTAGCTGCCAAAGGAAACATCTAAGTGTTATGTATTGGAGGCCAAATTCAGATCTCAGTTTAAGCAGGTGCAATTTCACTGACTTCAGTGAAGTTATTCTTGTTTGTACCATGTCTCAATTTTGTGCAGTCCCGTTGAGTTCACTGTCCCTATTCACATGTGTAAAGTTACTCAAGTGCCAAATGTTTGCAGACTAGATCCATGTTTTGCCCAGAAAATAATTATCTTTACATTTTTAAATCTCCCCCCGCCCCCATTTGACACATAATAGTACTTTATACTGTATAAAGGCAGCTGAATTAGAGCTAATTGCTTGTGATTTTTTTCAGTTTGCTGGCAATTCTGAAAAATTAAAAAAATTTGTTTTGGTCAAACAAAACATTCTGTGTTTCAATTTTGACCAATTAAAAACATTTTTTATTTTTAAAATAAAATTAAAGGAAATTTTGAAACAGTCATTTGAAACAGAAAAATCAAAATGTTTAATTCCCAAAATGTCAAAATGAAAGATTTCAATTTTTTCAGAAATACGTGTTGAGTTTTTTTTAACTGAAACAGTTTAGTGAAATTAATACAAATTTGCAACTGTTTGGTGTCACTGAATTTGCATATTTTGCTGAAAAAAGTTTATCAAAAAATTTCACACAGTTCCAGTCTAATTTTGTTCTGAGAATACTACTCCTTGTCAAATTGAAGTCCCAACTGCATTAACTATAATTTTTGAAAGGATTGCAAATTGAAATTTTGAAGCCCAGTAAATAAGAACTCCAAAGAAATGAGGGGTATAAAATTATACCTTTTACAAAGTGTGCCGAACTGACACACTAATAAACTGTGTAAATGTTTCCATAGAAAAAGCTGGCCTATAGGCAAATAAGGTGGAAGGTGTATTCTGTCACAGTAAATGGAGCTTGAGAAGGGTAACACTGTAATGTCACTGATTAAAAAGACAATCATATGTGATCAAATTTACTGAGAACAGAAGGGACTTTTCTGAGATTATGGGACCTGACCATAGAGGAGATTGAGAAACTAGTTACTTAAAGCAGAAGACTTGGCAGTGGTTACTGGTCACCTATTTAAATCAGCAACCTGGCATGAAAATGTTTAATAAATGGATGCAGAACAAGGATTCTCAAACTTCATTGCACGGTGACCCCCTTCTGACAATAAAAATTACTACGTGACCCCAGGAGGGGGAACTGAAGCCTGAGCCCACCCAAGCCCTGCCTCCCCCTGGTTGGCAGGGAGCAAAGCTTCAGCCCCAGGCTGGGGGCCTGTAACCTGAGCTGCACCGCCCAGGGCTAAAGCCCTTAGGCTTCAGCTTTTGGCTCCAGTTGGTGGGACTCTGGCTTCGGGCCCAGGCCCGAGCAAGTCTAAGCCAGCCCTGGTGACCCCATTAAAACAGGGTCGTGACCCACATTGGGTCCCGATCCACAGTTTGAGAACCGCTGATGTAGAAAGAAATGAATTAAAGCACATTTTCAAACATTACAGTCTGTAAAACAAATATGCCACTCTTAAGCAAGTGTAAAAGATGATTCTTCATCTATTTTTGATCAAATTTCTACACTACATGTAGAGTCTGATTGCTAGATCTTACTTGCCTATTTTATGGATTTGATTAAAAATATACAAATTCAGCATTCAGTCTTATGATTTCAATGGTAGTCTTGTTTGTGTAAAGATGACTGTAAGAAGGCATACTAAACTCGTATCTAACTTTGATACAAACATCCGAAGAAAAAACAATACAGAAAATTAAAGATAAAATGTTAAATTGGTAAATAAACAGCGAGTTACCTCAATGACAGTCCATTGTTCTACAACTATTGTGTCATTTCCTTTCCTGTTAGAACCTGGAACTCCTGAACCTTCTTCTTCATATATAAATAATCCTTCTAAAGATTTGGGCATGTGGTCTCCTGTGGAAGCAAGGACATGTGTAAGGTGAACTATAAAGACTTAGGCACATATCCTGCAACGATGTACACATCTTCTTAACTTTATACACTGCTTATAGTCCCATTGGAATCACATTATCTGAGACATCATACATTCATTTTTAATGTTTTTTTCAGCTGTCTCAGTCGCCACTTTATAAGCTATGAAGTCATATTCTTAATCAAATTACTGTATTTTCCCTTTCTACAGGGAGTCAGCTATTAATTAAATGCAAATTTCCATATTATTAAAAGCATTAGCAAGTAAGTGCCATATTTGAGTTTGAATTCCTGTTTCTTATACAACAGAAAGATAACCACTATTTATGAAGCACACAGAAACTCTATACTCAGCTTTGAAATCACATATGTCTGACCAAAACAAATACAGTTGTTGGAGATGGGAGAGGATTAAAGAAAAACAAAACAAATTACAGGGTCTATCCACAGTCACTTAAAAAAAATATGAAATGGCCACAGGAAGAGCCTGAAACAGAAGTAAATGTAGGAGGATTCCTGATGGGAAGGAAGTTTCAGAGAACACCTCCCTGACTTACTTCTTGTGAGAGTTTGATAATATCCAGCTGGCCCAAACTAAAGCTGTGCATCATATGTTGGTTCATTTTCTGTCTTTGATAGCATAGTGCATCTCCTAAGAGCCATCTGGAAGCCCTTTCTGTAGTGGTACCTCAATAGCCGAGAATCTTAAAAACTAAAAAAAATTAAACTAAATTTAAACAGAAAATAGAAATACTCTTCAATATTTTAAATCTTCTCCAACATACCATGAATGTACAGAGAAGATTGTCTCTGTGACATAACTTATGGTTATGCAGAAATACTGTGATACTGTAATTTTGTTTGGAGAATAACTGAAAGAATTCCACAGTTGGTCTGACTTGGAATTTTACCAGATGGACATAAATTTTCTAAATATAGTATGAATTTGACCATCTCAAACATCAATTTCCTAATCAATGCTAAGTATTAAAAGAGTCACAATAATCTTACTTCTTTTTGGGTCTGCATTTGCAGTAAATCTTACCTGTTTTTGGAGATATGTGTATTTTAAATTACATATTTACAGGCAAATATACCTATCATGCATGTATTGAAATAGAATGTGTAATGTTTAATTTTCACACACACACACACACACACACACACGCACACAATGTGGCTGAGTGTGTAAATGTGTGTGTGTATATATGTATGTGATTGAGTGTGTACACAATACACCCGCACACACTTTATTAGGGTTTGCAAATAGTTCAATTCTATAAATTCATTAACTGCAGATCTTCTCTTCAGGTTTTAGGTAGGTGCTTGAAATAGACAGTCAAAATTAGGAAATATTTTAACATTTAATATTTCAATGTTGTCAGATAGGTCTTCTATATTTTACAAAATTATTGAAATAAAAGTCACCTCTCTGCTGAGATATTTTTAAAAATTCCAGTATCTGTTTATAACATTCACAAAATATTTAGTGACAAATTCCTCCCTTGTGAAACTCTATCAACTTCAGTGGAGTTTCAGTAGGAATGCATTTGGACTTTTTGTCCGTCTAGTCTATGATAGTAATTTACCATTTTGAATGCTAGTACCCAAAACAAATTCTAGAGTATAATATTTTTTAAAATATCTCATAGATAGTTGTACAAACAGAAGAGCAAATAAAATGTTGCCACGACAGCTTTTTCTGCGTTAGAAATAGTGAACTCTGTTGTGGCTCGATATTCATTATATTTTCTCTTGCATTAAAATAGGAACTAGTTCAACCACTCTAATAAACAGAATACTGCCAAGTTTTGTTCTGATAGCTTCTGGAAATACTTCTGTTTTCTTTGCTAAAATGCTCTTTTTTAAAAATTCCATAGGGCCTGAGCCAAATGACCATTTCTGCAGCTGTTTGGGCTACATGTGGTGTTACTTATTCATATTGTAATAAAGCCTAAAATGTACTAGGTGATGTACAGACAAATAGGAAGACAACTCCTGCTAAAAAGAACGCAACACCTATTAAAAAAAAAAAGCGAGGATAAAGGATGCAACACACGAACAAAGTAGACAAGGTGGTGGGAGGCACTCATTGTTTAAATTCCATTTTATCTATTTATTTTTGTTCAGAAAGGTGTTAGATTTCAGCTCTCTGGGAGGCCCAAATATTCAACTGATTATATAAACTCTTTTAGGTTGACGTCAAGAACAAACAAACCAGGCAAGAAAGAATCCAGTAGCTAAATTCAGCTCTAGTCTCTTTGTAAACTCTTTCCCAGGTTACAGACACTTGAGAAGGAGAAAAGCCCACCCACACGTTAGATTGTCTCTTTAAACGTATACATTTTAATCCAGCATTGTTACTCCCAAGATCTCCACTGCAATATATAACAATCAGGCTGGGCAGAATCAGAGGCACCCGTTGTTCAAAGGAGGCAGCGTGGAATGCCGAAGTAAGATGTTCCCCAGGTGTTAACAATGGGAGAGTTCTTCATAAGAACAAAATGGTAAAGACTTGTGGAGAATAGGAGGCCTGTGGAACTTCTGTTGGACAACAGTTGCGGAGGTTAATTTTGGTTTAAAGCAGTTTTCCTCAATGAATTAGAACAGGTATTGTCCCCTCTATTTCCAGCACTGGGAGAAATCTACTAAAGTCTAAGGGCATGATTCCACTCCCACTGAAGTCAAAGCATATGTCTACACTGTAATTAAAAACCTGCAGCTGTCCTGTGCCAGCTGACTTGGGCTCAGGCTACAGGGCTCTTTAATTGCGACAGGCTGGAGCCTGGGTTCTAGGACCCTGTGAGGTGGGAGGATCAATCAGATCAGGCAAAGAGAAGCAAGTTAAGTTGTTGCAGGAATTATTGCTTAAGGGGGAGGGAAAAGAGAGAGTTTTTGGAGCACCTCCTCTTAATCATGTTGTCTGATGAAAGTCACAAATAACAGGCTTCCTCACTTTTATATTCTAGGCCTTTTAAAATAATTCTCTAGTAACTCTGGGATACCTTTTTGTCTGCAAACTGAAGAATGAGAGCCTTTTCTCAAACGCACACATGCACTGAATGAATTTGGCTTAGAACTGTGGCCTCATGATTTACAGAGATTGAGTGATGCACAGCAAAAGTTAATTGCCATATAAACAGAAAAATTGATTGGTACAGTGGGGATAGAACTGTCAGGGAACAAGTAGATACTAAATGACTCATAAAAAGTTACCTTAAAATATATTATTTAGCTAGCACTCTTAATATACTTGATTATTTTACACAGAATGAGTTTGAGTCTTGCACAAACTGTTTGTGAGAGTCTGTGAAGAAACACTTCAATGAACTTTTACAAAGCAGCTTTTCTGAATTAAAGTCCTGTGCTCCATTCATTCATACACAACTGCCATAAGCAATTCTAAAAGAACACTGACCATTTAGAATCTAGGACAACTGAAAAACAACAAAACTTGGGCAACAGACAAAATGCCACTTTAGAGGAACTTAAACTCTTCATTCAGCACAAAATAACTTAAGAGTAAAATTCAAGGAGATAAATAGGTCAAGCAGTTCAAGTCTGTTCACCTAACAGAGTATTGCTATAAAATATTCTCTTCTTTGCATTATATTCTAATCTTAAATCAACTAATATTAGGTAAGGAAGACAGCAATGTATTAATTAATTTTGACTAAAAATTTACATTTGGTATGTAAGATTCAGTTTCAAATACTTGCAAAAGAAATTGCTACATAAATTATTTTGTTTTGCAATCCAGTAAGATAATTTCCTGTTTCTCACATCATATTCAGTTGAAAAATATTTAACAAATATTAATCATAATTCTATCTTAATTAAAATATTAATCATACCTTAAATAGTACAGTAGTCTAATACTGAAGCCACAGACTTTCTAGTAAGAAACAGCTTTTGAAGGTATCATTTGTAGTACAGTAGAGCTCAGAGGGTCTGTCACAGGGTGGGCTGACTCTTCAAGGGATTTGGACTCAACCCTACCTGTGCCTTATCATCTGGTGATGGGTGGTAGGTAACCAGGCATCACATGATGGTAGCCAAGGGACAGGACTTCCTAAAAGAAGGAGCTTGCTCTGTCAAAGTAGTGTTAGATCAGAGGCTAGGAAAGAGCATGGGGAAGTCTCTCTAGATAAGCTCAGAGTGGGCCTGGTAGAGCTCCTCTGCCCAGAGGAATGTAAAGAACAGAGAGCAAACAAGCAAGTGCATGTGCACCCATGCAAGCTGGACGCTGAAGCCTCAGTACAGCCAAGGAGAAAGACTTGCAGGAAATTGGGAGGCTCCTTGAGGGGATCCAGAGAGCACTGAGTGATATAGAGGAACAGGAAAGAAGCTCTCTACAGCAGCCAGATTAAAAGGTCTGACTGGAGCCACCTTCAGTGAGGGGCAGGACAGAAACCTTAAGAGGAAGAGGCTTGAGGAAACAGAAGCAGCAGGAAGTGGAAAGAATTGTTGAGCCCAGCAAAGGGTTGAAGAAACTGGAGAGGGGGAAAGACTTGTTTTGGTTTAAGTTGATATTGGAACTGAGTGATTTTAATAAACCAGACTCCAAGAAGAGATGGTATTTGATTTGCATAAGAGGCTAGGGGCACTTTCTGAGAATGCAAAGAAGGGGAAATTCAGGCACTGGCAGGGTCCATTGCCAGTTCAAGAAAGACCCTGCTAAAAGCATCAAATGAGGTTAGGGCACAGTGTGCTAAGTACTCTACAAACATTTAGTAAGAGCCAGTCCCTGCCCCAAAGAGCTTACAGTCCCAGAGGTACTAAATGACTTGTCCCAGGTAATACAGCAATTCTGTGACAAAGCTGAGAACAGAAGCCAGGTTTATTGGTTTCTGTCCTGAAGTCTAACTAATAGAGTAGCGGTTCTCAAACTTCATTGCACTCTGACCCCTTTCTGACAACAAAAATGTCTACACGACCGTAGGAGGGGGGACCAAAGACTGAGCCCGCCTGAGCCCCGCTGCCCGAGTCCTGCCACCTCAGGCGCGGTGGGGGGGCCAAAGCTGAAGCCCAGTGGCTTCTGCCTTGGGCAGGGGGCATGTAACCTTAGCCCTAGGCAGGGGGACTTGGGCTTCAGCTTCAGTCCCAGGTGGTGGGGCCGGGGCCTGGGCTTGGGCTTCAGACTTGCTGGGGCCCAAGGCCAACACCAGCCTTGGCGACCCCATTAAAATGGGGTCATGACCCACTTTGGGGTCCCAACCCTCAGTTTGAGAACCCCTGTAATAGAGCCATTGGTAAAATCTTGCTTCTTTTAAAACAAACAAAAAACAAACCTCCACAACAACAAACCCTATGGCTAACTACTATTGGAAAAAAGAAGAAATAACCCCCTCTCTTGCCAAGTGACTGAAATAAATGGAACTTCAGGCTGGTGTGAAGGTCTGGGCTTGTCTTTTAAAGAGCGCTGAAACTATAAACCAACATAATACCCAATCACATCGAAATTTTGTTACTTAAATGATTAATAGAAACGCGGTCCTTAAAGAATTGTTTGAGGAGCTAGCTGTGTAATTAGAGTGACCTATATGTCATACTTTACTGACTGGACAATAAATGATTAAAGGATTAAATGTTAACTTCTACAATGTATGGTGTTGTGTTTAAATATAATGTGGCTATTGTCAGTGACTATCCAAAACAAGCACCTGACCGGTTGCAGGTGATGTGACGCTTTGTACATTAATCATTTGGAATGATCAGAAATGACATTTGCCTCATCACAATATTTACAAAAGAGGGGATCACTACTGGAGATAAGCCAAAGACAAAAACTCTGGCTCTAGAACAGATTCCAAACTTCCCCAGAGTTCATGGGTGTTCAGATGCAAGGTTTGGTTTAGGGCCATCTCTAATTACTACAATTTATTTTAAGTGCGGAGTACACTGTGGTAGTCAGTGAAAAAGATAAAAAAAGACTCAATAGCCAAGGAGAAAAATTTAAGGGCATTAGTGTGCACCAGCTGGGGTATGAATTCTAGCATGCACCAGCATGTTGTTCACTAACTGGTCAAGTGGACCCTGTTGGCGTACATAAGCAACGAAAGTATAAGCAATTTGGTCATAGCAGTTTTGTTAACAGATACTATCAGAAAACACTAGGGGTAAAATCCTGGCCCCAGTGAAGTCAGTGGGTAAAACTCTCATTGATTTCACTGAGGCCAGGATTTCACCCTACGGGTCTAATCCTTCCATCCTAACACACACAAAACACTCTCATTGATTTCAGAATGCATCATGCTGGAATAAAGACTGCAGGAACAGGTCTTTAGTATTTATCTGATAGTGTATTTATAACACTGTATACTCAATGGGAATTGAGGGTACTCAGAATTTCACTGGAAGGGCTCAACAAATCGCAGGACTAGGCCTTCTGTGAATACCAGTTGATACGCATTCTGAGAATATTATGCCTAATACTTTGTTGCTATATGTAATTATTATTAGCAATAAGTATTTGAATAAAATAGCATTAGCAGTAAGTGATGCTCTAATTAATACTTTATTATTAAAAAATAATATTTTTTCCCTTTGGAAAACTTTGAGCTGGGTAAAACAAAAGAGAAATTTCAATTATTTTAAGATATGACTTAAACAGGAAACAGTGAAAGTTTTTCCTCTTTAAATCAGGTCTCGTTCTGTGAAGTTGCAACAACAAAAATTACCAGAGTACCCATCATTTTTACAAACAGGGATATCAGATTTGCTCCTCTATATTAAGAAGCAAAATCTGACCTATGTTTTGCACGGTTTAAAATCTCATGAGAAATACACTTACTTACCTTTAGAAGTTTCCCAGTATACAAAAGAATCAATTAATGACAATCCTTGTTTATAATAAAATGCGGTTAGTTCTAGCCAGTCTGCATCCAGAGTACTAATGACTGCCCCTTTTCTTGTTACTTTCATAGACAAAATGCCCTCATAATAGGTCCAGCAGGTTGAGTCATCATCAAAAACATTGAAGACTGTATATAATTTATTATCTGAGTGAAAATATAAGAAAAGAAAAAGATCAGAAAAAGTAATGTCTTAAAGGAATACAATCAACTTAAAAATTACACTTCTGTCTGAATATTATTTGCTATTTTTATTACAAATAACCATTAAGATTATTATTTGACAAATTATTTTTCTCTACTTTCAACTTTTCTATACAATGAGAGCACTCTGTATATAATTTTTGTGGTTTCCCTGTCAATCAATTAGTCAGTTTTCTTTGATTATGTGGATCTTTTCACACAGCAACATGGCAGGGAAAAAACTTGGAAAAAAACCCAGAAAAATGTAATTATAAAACCACAAGAATTGTCAGGGTGATTCAGGGGAAGGTGTAGTGCTTGAAACTACTTTTAACTTTTTTTTTAACTGACTAGATCGTGAGTTGATGGTATTCCTTTAACCCATTAAAATCATTAAATTTTTTAGGGAATCTACTGAAAAAACATGAATCTCACTTATTTTCTATATCTAAGCATTAAAATAATGCTATTATACTAAACAAATATAACAACCAGTAAATGGAGTTCCAGATGAATTAATTCCACAAATCCAAACCTCTTAAAGAACACTGCAGTGACTGGTTATATAAGGCTTTAGCTAAACAAATGTTTACTACATAGGTATATAATTACATATACACACATGCTCGTATATTTATGGGCAAAGCCATGGAATAAACTGCATTTTTTTGTGCACACCTTGGACTAATTTATCAGCAAATCAAATCCCTGGGACTACTAATATTTCAAACCCCTGAGCAACTTTAAGCAGCACCATCTAAAAAACAAACCCACCAGAGAAATGTTTCCTCCCCCCACATCCAAAATGACCAGTCTGACGTGAAGACTAGGCAATTTGTCAACTCTGGACCATTGACAGGCTTAAGATTTACTATTTTATGACTGCCTCAGAGTTAGAAATGGAACTTATATAGAGGATATATTCCTGGGTGGGATGAGGGATATGTGGGGAATTTGTTCTGGGACTAAGCTTGAAAGGTGTCTGCGTGTGGACCTGACTGCCTTCAGCAAATCTATGCACAGTCTGAGCACTGTAGCATGCCTTTTGGTCCTTTCCTGTGTTTTTCCTGATGCAGGGAGCCTGACCTCTCCTTGCACAGCTCACTCAAGTGGCTCTGCTCTTCAGGGGCATTTTGTCATAGACTTCAATGGGCCCAGGATTTCACCCTCAGTGTCCACCCTCACTCCTGTCCCTACATGTCTCTTCTTCAGCCTTGGGGTAGGCCAGGAACCAGAATGGAGAAAACTGAAGTAACTGAACAATACTGAATATCTGTATTATTTAAAAGACTCAGAAGTCTGATGTTATTGAAAGCTGTGCAGAGAAGAAAGATAATTGCCAGGCTCCTCCACAGCTAAGTGAACTGTATGTTCAGTATTATCTGATTCTTGGAACATTTGGATATTTCTATCAGAGCTAGATAATTAAAGTTCCACTGTTTAAAGCCCTTTTGTTTCATCTGTACTATTTAATGATACTGTTTCATTATTTATGTAGTTTATTTTTTTATACAGAATCTTTATATTCCAATGGTTTCAGAGTAGCAGCCATGTTAGTCTGTATTCGCAAAAAGAAAAGGAGTACTTGTGGCACTTGGAGACTAACAAATTTATTTGAGCATAAGGTTTCGTGAGCTACAGCTCACTTCATCGGATGCATCATGAAAACTTATGCTCAAATAAATTTGTTAGTCTCTAAGGTGCCACAAGTACTCCTTTTCTTATATTCCAACATTATCCTTTAAAAATACATACAGCTTTTTGAAAGGTGAAACCTTGTCCTTTTCAAAATGGTAAAAAGCAATTCCAGTATTTTCCATCTATTTATAAGGAAGAACATTTTACTAGCAACAGCTAGTAAAGTCACTTCCTTTTAAAACATCTGCAATTTAGCTTTTCCAGGGAAGTGATGGACAGCAGCCAAAATAGAAATGACAATTCAAGCAAGAATTTACATTTTAGAAGTTGGTTGAATATGCATAGTTTACCGTGATGGGGTATGTACCCCATAATGACTCTGAAAGGGTTAATGTGGTCCAAGAGGCCAATTAATCCATCTGGTTGCATACGGAGGATGGGCCAGGTGTGATTAAAGATGAAATGCAGCTGGGAAAGGGCTGGATGGTGCTATAAACAGACCAAGTTTAGAGCAGAAAAGGCTGTAGGGAAGAAACTGTGGTTGCTCTTTTGGGAGAAGGGAATCATGAGATCTGCAGAGAACAGGATGCCTTTTGCAGGGTTAGCAGAAAGTCTCAAAAAATATTTGGTAGGAAGGGCCTACATCCACAAAAGGATATAGGTGTTGTGATGCTCAGTGCAGCATGGCCTTTTAGGTGTGTAGAAAGCCTCAAGAACAGCACCGTGATCCATTAAACCTGAGGTGGGTGCCTAAGCTCCCTATAGAGAGAGGCACCTTAGAGTGCAATCTACAAAAGCCACAGGTTAGGTAGGTAGCCACTTAAATTAGCAAATGGGAGATGCTGATGAGAGGGGTGTGTCCTAAGCCCTATCCATCTTGCAGGGATAGGATCTCCCTACAGCCTGGATTTAGGCACCTATCTCTGCTTGCAATCCACAAACTAGGGGAAGATGGGCGTTCTTCCACCTAATTCTCCTACCATACCCAATCTGATAGGCATGTTCAAAGTCTGCCTACCTGCACACAAAACAATAGGGACGTGCTCTCTTATAATGCTGAGCCCAGTGGTTAGAGTACTTATCTGGAATAAGGGAGGACCTTCCAACACTGTTCAAGTTCCCCCTCTGCCTGATGAGAAGGGATCTGAACAGGAACCTGCTACCTCGTCAGTGAGTGCTCTAACCATTGGGCTACAGGATATTCTGATGTGGATCTCCCATTGAAGTTGCTGAACTTTACTTAAACAAGTGCATAACAATTAATTGGGATGAGAGTGAGAGTAAGAATCGCTACTGCCCAATGGATAGAGCACGCACCTGAGAGGTGGCAGATTCCTGTTCAGATCCCTTCTCCTCATCTGGCAGAGGCAGGCACTTGAAAGTGGGGTCTCCCACATTCCAGCAAGTACCCTAACCAAGGGGCTAAAAATAATAAGGGAGCTCCTCCTTGTCCCTCTCACTCCCTGGCACTGTCTTGTGTGGACTTAGGTGGTCTCTGACTATGCCTATTGGATTGGGCCCTACTCGTGAGTTAGGCGGAGGCACACCTATCTTCTCCTGGTTTGTGGATTGCTCTGAGATTTAGGTGGGAGAGAGGCATCCTGGTGCCTAGAGTGAGACCGGAATGTGCATGCCCAGAGGCAGAAACATAGGCAGCTAGAGAACTTTTACTGCAAAAATGTAGGTGCTGAGTGAGTTTAGGAACATATGGGGTAAGGTAGTGGGGTGTGTGTGTCATGGATCATAGTGGTGCCAAAAAATGGGACTTGCCACCTAAGTATCTTTGTGGATCTGGCCTGGGAAGCCAAGGGAGGTTGCAGCAGGCAGTCTGGTGGAGTGAACCTTGACTGCCTGTCCTAGAGACCCTGGACTGGAACGCAGTGTAGAGGGCAGGCTAGGGTTCTCCTTCCAGCCACTGGCAAGGTGGTGTGAAGCCCGTGAGAAGGGAATATAGACTACTAGAAGCCCTGAGAAAAGAGTGTACAGACCACTGGGCTCAGAATTGTGTGTGGTGGATTGGATGGAGGGATCGGACATTGGTTTTGTTGGACTATCTATTATCTCAGATGGGGTGTGATTAAATGTGACCTGGCTAGAGGGCTGATTCATGAGACAAGGCAAACCACTGTAGGGCTGGAGTGGTCATCAACAGGGGATCCCAGAGGAGAAGAGTCTGCTATGCCATATCTAGCCTTGATGGAGGGGCCCATTGGTGAGTTGACCCTTACTTGTAGTATTGTGTTAACACACAACACGTGCATCCATAAAAATAGTTTGTTTTCACACTCAATTTTAGATGGTCCAACTGACCAGATCATTTAAGGCCTGGTTTACACAAAGTTTTTTACTAGTATAACCATGTTGGTTAGGCTGTGAGAAGACAGATAGATTTACTGATATAACACGAGTACAACCCCTCTAGCGTGGATGCAGTTATAGCTGTATAAAGGTGCTTATAATGGTATTGTTCCTGTACAGTATAACTGCCTTTATACCAGTATAACTGCATCCATACCAGGGGCTTATACTGCTTTATCTGTACCGGTACTGTTAAGTGATACAATTTAACACAGTTAATGTTTTTGCTTCATGCTTTCATATTTGTTAATAGGAAGTACAAAATCTTAATGCAATTATCATTTTGTGCAAATGTTCATGTCTACCAGACTTATTACATACCAGTAGTAATATACTCAGAACTAGATATTCAAACCTTGAACATCTGATGGTTCCTTAAATTTGGCTCTCAGACATGTCATTTTATTTTGTATCTCCTGCACAAGGATTGAGATGAACATGGCATATCAAAATAGGATGCAAATCTGCATGCAGAATGGCATGCAGTTAATTGAATTTTTTTCAAACTGTATGCTTGTAACTTTTTAAAGGAAATAAGGGTGATATGCAGTGTTCAAAAAGAGTGGATGTTACATTTCCAAGTTATTATCTTAGAAATGCTAATAACTTCTATGAACATGTGACTAACAGCTGAAGAAAAGTAAGACAAATCCAGGATAGAAATCTTTTAAGATTTCCATAAAATGTTTGCATTGAAGAAATGTCTTGGTTGATAAACTGGTTATAAAAATATCCATGTATAGAGTGCTGTGACAGACTAAGATTTCTCACTTTTTTGTTCCAAGTTTAATATTTATATTCCACTAATCTTTGAGCCTAATGAAACCTGGCTTTCACTTTGGGAGGAAAGAGTTATGCTTTAACTGGTCATGTTATAAAGGCTCAGCATATTGCACAAGAACCACTTGAATTCAGGTATTAATAATAAAATAATAATAATAAATAATAATTGGTTTTCTTTACAGTCCTCAAATGAAGGAGGGTACTTGTTTCCTGGCAGGAAGGTAGAAAAACTGCCATTGAATTTAATTAGAATGTGTCTGGTACATAATGGAAGAATTCACTATGCTAAACAGTCATTTAAAAACCCATCTATTAGGTAGCAGGTGGTTAAGGTTGATAGCCTTCACCTCAGAAAGGAAGGAAGGATGAACGGACTAAAAAGACCTAATAGGGAAACCCATGTGTTCCTCTCTCTGTTTCCCACAAAGGGCGCATCTCAGTAGAAAAAAGGTCTGTTCTTAACTTGTGTTAGATATTGCATGGTAACTAACATGAGGTCCTCATGAAGACATGGCAGTTTGTAATTGTAATATGAGTTATCAGGTTGAGGTAAACTCTGGACTCCTTCATAGCTTTACCACGACTTGTTCATGTGTGAAAATTAGGAGCTGCCTTGCCTTCACTAGGATTTTATTCATGTTAGTTACCAGGCGTCAGCTAACTTAAAGAAGAACACATTTTCTTTCTTAATGAACACTTAATGAATCGCCAAAGTAAAGTTGCCTGACATCCAGAGTCACAGTGTTCTAGAAGATGACATCTCAAACAGAATGGGTTATATATTTTAATATCTTTACATCTTCCTTTTGTAACTAAGCTTTCTGCCATATTAACAAAAATGTTCACCAATGAGTTTTCTTATACTCCACTTTTCATGCATGTTTCCTCTAATGTAAATAAATTCTTTATCTATTATCCTCTTTGATTTCACTGTTGCACTAATTTGAGTTCTCTGAGGGTATCTCTTGAAGGTATGTTACCAAAATCAGTCCATTAAGAATAGATTAGTCTGCTATGCATTACATGGGCTGGAGAGGAGTATGTTTGAATTATATCCCCTAGCACCTAATAGGTCCCTTTTGTCTTAAATTGAATTCAAGTTAGGGAGTTTGAATAATTGTGGTGTAATCTTAGGGGCCTATTAAAAGTTTCTTGCTGATTAATAAGGGTAAATCTTGTAACACAATTTCATCCTTTGATGATAGGACACTATTTTTCAGGCACACACAGTTGTGTTCACTTATGCACACACTTGTCATACAAAGTTATTTGCTTGCAATATTAAAAACATTGAGCTTTTACTGTCTATGCTTTAACAGTCTAAAGTTTTAACAGTTCACTTAAAACAGGGGAGATATGAGAAGAGAGAGGTAATTTCTACATAATATTGGATACATACTACAGAAGACAGAATTGGTATTGTTTTCTATTTGTCAAGCTGCTCTAAAAATGAATATGTATTTAAACTTAGAGATCTTTAAAACCTATATTTTATAAGCTAGAATATACTGTAATAAGTTTTGCTTTACCTTTTTGTTATCCTTTTTTGCTATAACTCAATGTAATTATCCCGCTACTGCAATAGACACATAGTGTTTTATTACCTTCTCCTTTCCTTGGTTTAGTAGGTCTGGGGCTGCCTTCTTTTCCAAATTGGAAATCAGCATCCTGTAACTGTCCCCTTTCTGGCTGAATTTCTTCCTCTATTCCACTCTCGGATGACTGACCACTCAAAGTCCCTTCATTCCAGTTTTTATAGTTTTCATCATAATTGTATTTCCTGTGCTCTCTACTCCTTATGCTTAGTGCTGATTCAGAGTCCACATTTCCATCTGTGTTTGTGCCATTACAGAATTTAGGTTGAGGAAAATGCTGTGTTATAAATCCAACAAACTTCTTCCCTCTTTTAGCAGCTTCATTGACCTGCATGTATAAAACAGAGTTATTCTGAAACTTTATGAATTTACAGGTTGAAGATAAGACACTTCTACGTCACACATATTCCATAAAAGAAGATGCTGATTTGCAAGCAAATATATCCAAGACGCAATGTACTTAAGGATTGTGGAGTTCTCATGTTATATATTTTAAGGCAAATATCAGTTTACTTGATTCTGCAAGCTCTCCATGCATTGAAGTCAATAGGCATTCTGCAAACAGGGTAGCTTCTATGATTAGGCCAAGCAATGTGTTCAAATACGAGCTAGTAATACTAACTTAAATGTATATAGCACCTTTCATGTAGAAGAAGAACAAACTTTTTATTACATGTGTGTGAACTTCACAACCCACTAAAATGCAGCCATTTGGGATCAGAAATGGTATCCATTTTGCAACAGAACCAAAATTATCTTGAGGGCAGCAAGCAATGTTGGGGGAGATTTTTAAAAGTGCCTAAGGGATTTAGAAGGACAAGAGACACTCTCCCTCCAAATTACTAAATTTTTAACTTTTTAAAAGGTTTAACCATGGATTATCGATGCAATCATTTTAAAAAATACTGGAAAGATTTGAATTTAAGGATAATTTTTTGACTAATAAAAATATTTCCCCTAATGCTTATACTTCAGATTTCCTTGTACGAGACTGAACAAATGCTTATTTTAAGTTTATTGATCATTTAATATATGTATTTAGTATTAATGTATATCTGACTTACCAAAATAAATTGGTATAAACATGAAACTGTGTCTCATTTTAAATTCTGATTACCTCACAGAGTACTTATAATACAGCCATTTAAAATCTCTAAACAACTCTCTCAGCTACAACCTCAGTGATCCTAAAATATTTTAAAGATGCTCTTCCTTTAAACTTTCCTTAGCAACTAATTTAGACAACTATATTACTATCATTTTTGTAATAACAAAACTTTCCTGTTTCAATAGGTCTTAATTTAGAAGAGGAAGTGAGAGACAAAGTTTATTAGGGTGGAAGTTGAATATTCTTTAATTTTGAAAAGATTTACTGTACAAGTAACCAAAGGTAAATACTTCTATAAAAGCAACACTTTTGCATGCCAGTTGTAATTTACAGAATGAGATGAGACAATCTATTTGTCCTTGCCTAGAAAATCCATCTACAGATGTCAGTTTTATTTGAGTATATTATTTAACAAGGAACAAGTAAATATGCATTTTCAGATTTTAATTTAATACAATATTACAACATAATTCTAGAAGGAGCTACTATATGTGCATATCCCTTCAGAAAGTTTGATTACTGTTGCCTAAACCATGAAAAACAACAAAATAAAGGTCAGAACCTGCTCCCAATGACATCAGTGGAAATCTCCTTTTGAGTTCAATGGGTTCATGACAGAGTGCTAAACAAAAAAAGAAGTGCTGAAGGGGGAAAAGCAACACTTCCTTCTTACTTAAATGAATGCCTTGGTAATTTTTATAAGCCAGAAAACCAGGTTAAAATTTGCAAATTGAAAAATAATTCATCTGTAAATGTAAATACATATGTTACAGTTAAGAATCCTGTGAGCAGAGAAGTTAATTTTTTTTTTTTCAAAAACTGCCATACCTTTTCTAACAATCCTTTGACTACGTCATTTGTCAGTGTTTCATACATTAAAGGACATTCCTCAATCACAAGCCTGGGGTGTCTTTGTCTTCTGGGTGCTGTATGCTTCGGGCTGGAACACGGAAAGAAAGCAGTCTTTGTCAGCAGCTTGCTGCTAACTTGCACAAAATGCTTGCATGTAGAATTATTTTCTTTTTTGAAAAAAGTTATGAATGAAATCTTGGCAATACTTTTTTCACACTTCTGCTTAGAAGTGATTCTTTCCTATGTTTACACAAAATATCAGGTACTGTGCCTTATCGTGAAAGTACAAACAAAAGCTATATTAAGTATGAGTATAAATTTGTACCCATTTCTTGAAACATTCAAGTACTTTAGTGAAAAGGCATTGTTTTCGTAGCAAATAAATCCCATGTGTTCTCAAATAATAGAAACATACAATGTTACAAACCTTAGATTATACTATCAAATGTGAATATACATAGAATGCTAATAGTCTTAGACAGCGTCATTTTAATCTCAAAAATATAGCTATGATTCTGGAGTTCTACATACACAGTACCCTGTTCAGATTTTTATGATATGACAGTCATTTCCAAATACAATATTTTACAATTTACATCAAGTAATTACATGGTATAATCAGTGTTGTATAGTTATAGGTTAAAGATCTCTTCTTAAAAAAGCATACATGGAGTGACTAAAATCACTTCAACAGAGAGATTTAGCTACCTAGTATGTTTATTATTCAGTTGCTTACTTGGAAAAATGTTTTTAAGAATTACAATATGGTACCTACATTGTCAATTTAAATTGTCAATATTTTCATTACACAAACACGGCTGTAGTGGATGTGTTCACAGGGGATCCATAGCACAGAGTGTAAATACTGTTTCTTGTGTGGAGGAATCAGGAGAGGTACATGCTCCCCCAGGCCATCTTCTTACTCAAATTCATGGATCCTGGTGGAGAATGCAAGGGCTTTTCAGGGGTTTCAGGACAGGGGGAAGCATGCAGTAGAAGAATCCCCATAGTGCAAGGATGTGGAGAAAAGAATCAGGGTTGGAAGGGACCTCAGGAGGTCATCTAGTCCAAACCCCTGCTCAAAGCAGGACCAATCCCCAATTTTTGCCCCAGATCCCTAAACGGCCCCCTCAAGGATTGAACTCACAACCCTGGGTTTAGCAGGCCAATGCAAAGAGTCTGAGGAGGGATTCTCCCTGCTGCAATGGCAAATATATGCTGCAGTGGTTGGGCAGGGGCACTGTAATTTAGACTAACTCCTGGTCCTCAGAGGCTTGAAGAGGGAGGGTGCAAAAGTAGTAAAAAGTTTTCTGTGCTGCATCTCCTAGAGGTACAGAATATCAGCCACAGTTTTCACTAGTCTTTCTTCCTCCTCTTTCCAGCTATGTGAGAGTAAATTGGGTTGTTTCCTGACTTGTGTATCAACAGAACTTTTAGCTAAATTTCCATTGTAGAAACTTTGACTAAAGATGCTGTATAAGTGAGAATTAACCTAGCTTGATTATCAGATCCCAAGTTTAGTATGCATGGTTGACTATGAGAAAACATATGATTTTATGAGTCAATTGAGCCAGTCTGGCCTGCAAGCATTGAGAGAAAACTGAACCTCACAATATAATTTTACAGTGTCACATTTCAGTGTAGAATCACATTGTAAATGAATTCATTTCAGGCTCTGATTGAAGGCAACTTACCAAAGAACACCCACTAAAGGCACATCTGTTTGCTCCTTAATAGCTAGGACAAACAGGAGAGTGACCAACTGGGCAATCTTGTAACCTAAGGACTCTCTTTGTTTTAAGTTTAAGCTAAGGCAGGAAGTATTCACTGTTGCTCTGTAAATCTAGGCATCCATGAATGAATGTGGGATTGAGGCAACTAGAAGAGAAGCTTGTAACTGGGTATTTTTAAGCTTGTGTGTCTTAATAGTTACTAATTGTTTCACAGAAGGTACACTGCAGATTTTTTCAGTTTGTTTTTGTTTAAATCAATACTTGCAATGTAGATTCACAGGATTAACTAATGTTTTGGGTTGGGTTAAACCCCGTTGAAACCGGTGGATGTAACAGCTGCCACTCATTTGGGATAAATGTTAGAAACAATTATGTTTCTTTGTGGAACCAGATAGCTGAAACATCAGAGGCGTCTGCCCAAAACAAAGCCATGTGCAAGGCTGCAGTAGAAGCTGAATCATGTGACCCAAGTGGGTTCCACAGTGGTCTAATAAACTAAAAGGTGGATGGGGAGAGAGGGATTGGAATGATGTGTCTGTGTGTGAGAGAGTCAGGAAAAACAGAGAAGCAGCAAAAGTCAAACACAGCCAGAACAAGAAGTGTTTGGAATGTGGCTCTGAGAAAAAGCCCAGAGAGAGAGGTTTTGGGCTACTCCTGTTTGGAGGTGGGGTAGATGCACAGTAGCAGGGTCCACACGGACACTTAGGATGAAGCAGGCTAGTGAGGGGTAGATTTACACCCTTTACTGCTGACTAAGTGCTTCTATCGACAAACCCATAGAGCAGCTTCAGGGCTGCTCTAAATTGCATCCAGGCGCTCACATCCCCACAGGACTATTATGGCGGCTGGGGATAGCAGAAGCATTGCAGCCCTGCCCCTTTTCCCCATCCTTATCTTCCACGTGTCCCTTTCGCTGGGAATTGCAAAGTGGATGGTATAGATCTGTGCCAGAGAGGCTGGTTATGCTGACTTCATGATCCCTTTGTGACAAGGGCAGCAGAAAACCAGAGACTCTAGCACAAAATCTACAAATCAAAATCTATGCTCTGTGGTTGCCTGCCATTGATCTGCATAACAAAACCACCAAACAAATTGGCATGAGTAGTCTCCGTTCAAGAGAGGCACAGAACTGGAATATACAGTGGATTGAAGGTCAAAACGTAAATGTATTGGTAGAGTTCTTAGGTAAATTTGCAGTTTGTGCCTGCCCTAGGCAGTAATTAAATTCCATTGTTAAGAATGGAAGCTTTAGGCATTTTAACTTTCTATATATAAAAATATCAGTTTTAAATTATTTACATAACCCCTAATTGCTACCGTGACATAATGGAAATAACTCTGCTAACCATTCTATTGCACAGCTTACCATACTTCTTTAAAATGAAGGGTGAGAACTTCATTTCTGCAGAGTCTATACACTGATGCTTCGCTGTGCAGATTTGAGTGCTTTTTCCTGATGTTATCTTAAGAACAGCTGGGTAAAGAGCATAGTGGCCATAGGTTTATCCCCCTAGAACAGTGGTCTCCAACGTTTTTACGTTTTTACAAAAAGATCACTTTTTGAATCTAAGGGCAACCCAGGATCTACCCCATCCCTTCCCCAAAGCCCCACTCACTCCATCCCCACCTCTCTCTGTCACTTGCTCTCCCCCACCCTCACTCACTTTCACTGGGCTGGGGCAAGAGGTTGGGGTTCAGGAGGGGGTGCAGGCTCTGGGCTGGGGCCGAGGGTTTGCAGTGTGGGAGGGGGCTCTGGGCTGAGCCTGGAGCAGAAGGTTGGGGTGCAGGAGGGGGTGAGGGGTACAAGCTCTAGGAGAGAGTTTGGGTGTAGGAGGGGGCTCTGGGCTGGGGCAGAGTGTTGGGGTGCAGAAGGGGTTATGGGGTTGCTGGCTCTGGGAGGGGATTCGGGATGGGGTAGAGTGTTGGGGTGCAGGAGGGGATTTGGGGTGATGGCTCTGGGAGAGGGCTCAGGGTGGGATTTGGGGTGCAGGAGGGGTGTGGTGTCCTGGCTCCGGGAAGGAGCTCAGGGATGGGGGTTGCGGTGTGGCCTCTTGCTGGGCAGCACTTACCCCCAGCAGCTCCCAGTTGGCGGTGCAGCAAGGCTAAGGCAGGCTCTCTGCCAACACTCCCCTGTGGCCCCTGGGGAGGAGCGGGGGGCACGTGGCTCTATGTGTGGGCCCCTCTCGGCATGCACCACCCCAGCAGCTCTCCCGGCCAAGGGAGCTGTGGGGGCGGTGCTTGCAGGCAGGAGCAGCGCACGAAGGGAGACCCTTGCACCCCCCAACCCCCCCGGCCGCAGGGCTGTGCTGGCCGCTTTCGGGAGCGGCGTGGGGCTGGGGTTGGCAGGGGAGTCTGCCTTAGTGGCAGTCACACTGCACTGCCAGAGATCTCCATTGACTGGGAGATCCTCTAGGCTGGTGGCCACTGCCCTAGAAGCTTATATGGAGTATCTTGCTTTCACAGCGTTTAAGAAAAGGAATATAAAATTCATGCTTTTCAGGCATAAGCCAACCACTAGTTCAGTTGGGTTAAGACGAAATTTCCTCTGTCAGCAATCTGTTTAGGGCCCAATTGCGTCTGTCTCTAATGCAACTATGCAGGAGAACAAGACTGCACTGCATAACTGTGCTGGGAATCCTTGGAACTTGGGTCCAGGGATGAAGGAGAGAGCAAATGGTGTTCACTTGGTACCACTTCCCTACTCCCTCTAAGCAGGTGCACAAGAAGTAGGGCACAAGGAGGGCAGGGAAAACTAAACCATGGAAGATTTCAAAAAAGTCATGTAGGAGCTCAGGACATGTGTAATTCTCTCTGTGCAAGGCAGAATGAGACTGAGAAAAAGCTTGAGCTCACTTGGACTAGTACCTAAAAATACTGGAATTCCCCTGACCATTCTTACATATTTAAGAGTGATGTAAATGAAAACTCATCAAGTTAGAGATTGAAAAAGACTTTTTCAAAGTGGATAAAGTCAGAGTATGTTAACAAAAATTTTTCAGAAACGCTAAGAGTTCCCTTTCATCTAATCTTGGGAACACAGCTTTAAGAGGTAAAGTATACAGCTTTCACAAAAAATTGCTCTGCTTAGATTTGAGATAAAGAAAACAGGGAAAGCAGACAAAGATGTTCATTTACAAAAACGATACATACAGCAATCCCTTTGTTTTTGTACCATGAAATATACATATTTGTAGAGGGAAACTGGCAAAGAATGCAATTAGCGCTACAAAATGTACACATACATGTGTGGGTGATGGTTGAACCACCAGGCTTTAGAGGCATTCTCATGCTTGTGCGTGCATTTGTGTTCTCTCGCTCTATTGTCTTTCCATTATTTAGGCTAGAGAGCAGAAGCCTGAGTGACTCTGCAGCCTGGTGGTTAGACCACTCACCCATGATGTGGAAGACCTAGGATCTAGTCCCTCTGGTCTAATGGGTCTTTCATTATTTATCCACAGTGCAACAGCTTTAACAGGAGAGAGGGAGGGACTCCCTACATCAGAATATCCCACAGATCACTGGTTAGAGCACTCACCCTAGTAGCAGATCCTTGTTTAAATTGCTTCTCCTCCATAAGTGGAGGGGGGACTGGAGCAGGGGGTCTCCCACCTCCCAGGAGAGTACCCTAACCACTGGATTACATGTTACGAGGGTGGTCCTCCCTACTCACCCCAGTATGATGCTGGCAGATCAGGTGCCAGCTCATGCCAAGACCCCCATGCCTCAATTGAATACTGACAAATATGTAGCTGGAATCAGTCTGGCTCACCTGTGTGTTAGTATTGTTAAAATAGGAATTAGAATGAAAAGAATGTGTTTAGTGCTTAGACTTTATGGAGTGCTTGTAAGATGCTGCATGCATTAATCTCATTTAACATCTGTATCCCATATTAAAAGATGATAATTGAGCATTTGTAGTGTAAGCTTCTGTAACTGTGTAAATCAACAGACAGGAGAGTGTGAAATGCTGGTGGCCAATGAAGGTGTCATGTCCTGCCCAGCAGGGAAGACTCATCAACACCAGATGGAACGATTGTGGAACATTAGACAATGAAATAATTTGTTGATTTCTCTCCCATAAAGATGAGTTATGCAAGTGAATTCCTCAGAGCTCAAGTGGGGAAGGGAATAAAAACTCCTAACAAGAAGTTAGTTTAATTGTATCTCTATGCTGGACTCTGAGGGGTAAGCTTTCTAGGCATAAGCAAGAGAACCCCAGTGCTTAGCCTGGATTAGCCCTAAAGGACATATAGAATTTGCTTCTATTATCTTCTGAAACTTAAGATTGCAACTCAATTTATGTGTATGTCTTCTGGTTTAGCCTTGTAAAGATCTCTCATTTCCTTTTCCTGTACAATAAATCTTTAGATTGTTTATTATAGGATTGGCTACAAGCATTGTCTTTGGTGTGAGATCTAAGGTGCAATTGTCTGGGGGTAAGTGACTGGTTCTTTGAGGCTGGGAGCAACCTTAATATTTCTGTGATCCTTGGTGTAAAGGACAATCTAGCAAAGGTAGACTTACCTGGGCAGCAAGACAGAATAGAGTACCCAAGGGGACTGTATGTGGCTTCATGTTAAGGCTGTTATAGTACATGAGGAGTTTACACTTGATAATTGGCTGGTGAAATCTAATTATAGAACTCACAACTAATGTGGGGTTTGTGCCCTGCTTCTTGACAGTCTCCCCTGAGGTTGGGTACTTATGCTCTTGAGCCACTGCAGGACGAATTGACAGCTGTTTTCTTGCTAAAATGGCACAGAGTGCTCTAACTCAAGAGGTTTTCTTGACTTACACAGATAGGTGCTTCCCTGTAGACTAGTTTTAGGTGCTTATCTCTGTGAGAAGTGGGGCTTAGAACACACACCTCTGGTCAGCATTTCCCATTGGCTAGCTTATGCTGTTCCCTGCAGAGCCTGCTGGCCTTTGTGAATGGCAGTCTAAGGTGCCTATCTCTCCCTATTCATGTGCAGGAGCCTAGGTGCCTAATTCAGACTTCGAATTGCGGTGATTCATCCAGGTGCTCAAAGTTTGGCGTTGTGATGCTCAGTGTCACAACATCTAAATCCTTTCGAGCATTCAGACCTTGCTTCATCCTTGAAGGTGCTTTCTAACGTCCTGATTAGTATTAAAAGTTACAAGGAATGCATGTTGAAAAGCCATTTGCAAATTTTTAAAATATGAATGAAGCAAGTTCTATGTCATTTAATTCAAATAATTTTTCTCCTCTGCATATTTTACCTTAATTTGAGTCGTGATAGTACCACTCGATACAAATAACTTGCAGAAAAGTGCTTTCTTCGCCCAACAGGTAATATAATAGGATGAATTGCTCCTACAACATATCCTTTGATGTAATACTCTTCCACTTTTGTTGCTATATCCAACACAGAACTGATTTTGATAACTTCTGGATTCGAGGACACTAAAGGAATTGAATGAACAGAAAACATGGACATTATGCACAAGTGTTACTCAGTATGCAGATGTTCATACATACAAATAAGCTACTTACCTATATCTTAATGTAGCACAAAAGATATAATACATCTATATTCCCCAATGTACATATATACAAAATATAGCGGATGCATAGTTGACCAGGAATTATACAGGGATAATAAAAACAGTGATAAAGTTATACATCTTACAAAATAGAAAGATCAGAGTAACTTTAAATCAGTTTGGCATCAATTTAATGATCTGTCTGGCTTTATTAATAGAGCGTAAAAGCTGTGTCAGCATCTATACCTCCAACAATCCTTCCTGATGAAAAGGAAGATGACAAAAAGGGAACATAATAAAAACTCTGTTTCTAAACTGGGATTCAGGCTTGTCTACATGAAAGAGTTGCATTGGTTTAACTTGAATCAGTTGTTAACCCAATTTGGCTAAAATATTGCAAACCTATGTGTGGACACTTTTATTTTGGTTTAAGAGTAACTTATTCCTAATCAATTTAAGCTAAACTGAAATAAGTGTGGTTTAGAGCAAAATAAGTGTCCATGTGGAGTCTTGTTCCAGTTTAACAAAACCAGTTTAAAAATCACACTTTTAGTTAAACAGAGCACCTTTCTTGTGTAGACAAGACCTCAGACACTAATATCCTTATCCCATCCCAAAGTAAATCAAATGGTGTGCAGCAAGGGGCCAAACTATGCCATCAGTTTTTAGCAGAATTCCCCTTGGTCACACTGGGGAGTTGTGTTCAAACTGTGAAGGCTCAATATAGTCTCATTTTCAGGTTGAATTAGCAGAAACACAAACGAGTACTTTTGGAGGCACATTTTATTTTGCAAAAAGAACAGGAGTACTTGTGGCACCTTAGAGACTAACCAATTTATTTGAGCATAAGCTTTCGTGGTCTACAGCCCACTTCATCGGATGCATAGAATGGAACATATAGTAAGAAGACATATATACATACATAAAGAGAACATGAAAAAGTGGAGTAAGAGGCTAATTAATTAAGATGAGCTATTATCAGCAGGAGAAAACAACTTCTGTAGTGATAATCAAGATGGCCCATTTTAGACAGTTGACAAGAAGGTGTGAGGATACTTAACATGGGGAAATAGATTCAATGTGTGTAATGACCCAGCCGCTCCCAGTCTCTATTCTAACCCAAGTATCTAGTTTGCATATTAATATGAACAGAGACTGGGAGTGGCTGTGTCATTACCACTCTTCTCACTTACAGCCCCAGATACAGTTGTCAGTATCATGTTTTCTATGCCACTGCACAACTGTGAATTCTAGAGAGGAGATTGTTTTGACTGGAATTTGACACTCTCCAGCAGGAACACCTGCTGCAAATCTTTTAGTTCATTTTAGAGTTCTTACAGTTCCTAGTTTTTTCACTATGCTTTTGGTGGATGAAGAGATGGAAGGGACAATGTTGTTCAATAGTATCAATGTGTGACTCAGATTGGAATTAAACATCGAAACCACGATGGTAGTTTTTAGATTTAAAAAGCACTTGTAAGAGTTGGTTTAGGATTTTCCTCTTTGTCTCTCCCTCTCAAAAGAAAATAACTTAAGTTGAAACGAGTTCACTCTCCTTTGATTTTACATCAGCCTCTTTGATATAAAGGGGAAAAAGTACATAAAAGCACAATGATAAAAACACCACTTTGAAAATATATTCCTTATGGTTCAATTCAGGTTCCCCATCTCCCTCTTCTTAATCACCTCCCCAGAAAAGAGATGTGCTGTAGCACATGTTACTCATGGCACCATGTCTTCTCCCCACATGTAAAGGGTCTGTCTAACATACAAGTCAGAGAGTGTGCACCTATTTTCCATATCTCATGTAAACACACATGTAGAATATGATACTGACCAGGACACTCCATTTCATCAGCCTTTTGGGATCTGGTGGTTAAGATTAAATTTATGATGTTCAATCTTAGCTCTAAGAAAAGGAGTACTTGTGGCACCTTAGAGACTAAAGTACTTAGAGACACAAGTACTCCTTTTCTTTTTGCGAATACAGACTAACACGGCTGTTACTCTGAAACCAATCTTAGCTCTGCCACTAATCTGCAGTGTGGTCTGCAAAGTCTCAATCTATCTGTGCCTGGTTCTCCTATGTAAACTGGGGATGATATCATATGTATATCACAGGTTTTTTTTAACGACTAATTAGTTAATGTTTGTACAGTACTTTGAAAAATTAAATACTAAGTATTATTGAAGTAATTACAAAGTATTATTAAATCCTATCCTGGGGGAAAGCCTAATGCCTGATGTGCCCTCTGCCACAGGAATCTTGCTGGCACAGGGCAGATTTCTGACAACAGCTGGACAATATACTGTGGGGAACATTTTTTTGCGCCTCTGGGCAGGAACAACATGCATCCCCATATATGCACTGATGGCAGAATGGGCACTAGCAGACACAAATCTAGATACTCCCACTAATACAAACTATGTTACCTTGGGGACATGATGCAAGGGCTGTTGTGTTATCCGGCTATACCTTACAATTCACTGTTGTACAGTGCAAATGAAACATTTCTTGCTAGATCTGTAGAGGTGCGGTGTAGGAAAAGAGGCTCATTTCAAATATCTTCTCCACCGCACCCCTTGCATGCTAGATGACAGAATTTAGCCCTAAGTGAACCGAGCTATAAAATTCCTAACCATAGTTCCTTTAAGCACATTCTGCATAATGAAGCCAATGGACATGTTCAGGTTTACTGCAACACATATGGTGTAACTTAGACTGCATGCCACAGCCAAAAAAGCAGGTTTGTGTAAAACATGGCCCACTTCCATCATGTTGCAAACTGTTGCAACTATTCTAAAATTTAAACAGAATTTCTATCTTGTTGTGTTCGCTCACAACAGCCAATCACAACTGTTACAATAATATAACCCAGAAGTTTGAAATGTTAAAAGGTGATAGCAAATTAATTTGTATATACATTTGTGTTTATCCAAAGTGATAGATGCTTTTTATTGTTTGAAATTTCAGCATGCTGATACGAAGAACATAGACACAGGTTTCCTCTTTCTATTAAAAAGAGATGTGAAGGAGGCATAAAGCATTATAGTGAGTGTGGGAAAATTCTAGTGATCCCCAGTTACATGTTTTAGTTGACCTTCCAAAATACTTTAGTCAAGCTGCTTATGTGAGACACACTTCATAGCTGCGGAGATAAAATTGGCACTAAGAAATGGACACTTAAAACCACAGTTGGGTAGATTCTCTACTTTATTCCACTCCCTTTATTCCACTCAAGTGGTGCAAAGTGAAGACTGATTGCATCTTCCTACCTAGGGATTTTTCTGGTGTGGGGGAGCATCCAGTGGCCATTGATCCAGTTCTTAGGCCACCATCCCTGGAGCATGTTAGGGACAAGAACGAGAGGCCAGATCACAATGTACTCTAGCTCTGCTTAGCTGGTTGATAGTTCCTAGGCTGCTCTAACTGGTGTAAAGGCTTGATAGAGAATCAAGTGAGTTTTAATAGTCTCCTTGATAAGCCCTTCATTCTGTTTCTTTGAGCATAAACTTGTTGAGTTAAACTCTGCACTAGCTTAAATTTAATGTAACTGTGCTTGTTATACCTTCATCCCAATATACAATAATATATGTAAAGTGGGGATAGAAAGGGTGTAAAAGTAAGATTTTAAAAAGTTTTTTACTTGGGACCAGATCAGGTACTTAGGTGTAAAAATTCACACAATGAGCAGTACATGTTGGGCACGATCTTCTTTTTCCTCAACGAGTAGAAACTGAAAGTGCTATGAAGACAGCACTCAGGTCTCTGACAGCATGAGATTCATGTTGCTCAGAAGTGATACAAGCTGGTTGATCATAAACTATATTAACTGAGCTCTTAATATAGCTCCCTTTATCCCAAAGGTACTGGTGCAATAAGATGCAGGATGGAGCTGATAGTTTATATGAAGGAAAAAGGTACAGGTTCAAAACAGGCCCTACAGTAAATTGGCCACTCCCTGTATTCCATGAACAAAAACAAAGTTCACTATAATTTAGAATTTTCCTAGTAAAAGAGGGCGAGAGCAAGTGTGTACTGAGATTGTGTGTGTGTGTGTGTGTGTATGAATGTAGCTCTGAAAGGCAGAGGTATATGAGAATATAAAATATATGCATGCAACTGACATTGTTTTACACAGATAGGCCTACATTTTCAAACTTAGTTGCCTAAAGCTAGGCTCTTAACTCTATTTTTAGGCAACTAACTGAAAGTGACCTGAATTCCAATGTTGTTGAGCACCCATAATTCCCAGTGAAGTGAATGCAAGCTACAGGTACTAGGCAGCACTGAATATCAAATAACTTTTAGTAAAGTACCTAATATGGATTCATGAGTCTAGTAATATGCGCCATGGTTTGAAAATGTGACCATAATTTTTTTGCAATGTGACACTGGTTATTACATATGATGATGCTAAAAGAACCACCTTTTTTCCCCCACACCTTACTAAGTACATATTTAGTTTAACATTGAAAACAACTAACTTCTTTAAAACAAATCCCTTCCAGAGTGTTTTCATAAACTTGTATGTGCATAAAAATATGATTTAGAACACAATGAACTATTTAGGAACTCCAAACAAACTTCAGAGTCAAGGAAAGAAGTTTTATTATCCTACACATTCGTAGCAATACAGCAGCAGGTAGTTAATTTATGTATTACACAACCCAGCTCTAGTCTTGGAGTATATTGTTACTACTACTTCTCAATACAAAGAAGTTTTGTTTCCTGAACCGAACACGTGAATGAACAACTCCTCTTTCTAATTAAAAGCTAAAAATACTGTTGGTTGTCAAGTACTATAATTTAGTACAATGCTATGTTTTCTATTCATCAAGTCATGCAGCTTACTTAATCATCAACACTTCAATATGTATAAACATGAACATTAATGTAATCTGGCAGTTCAAAGACCTAGTTCAATAGAGGTCTGACTTTTATATTTATTAAAATATTCCTGTACCAAGTCACATAACAGATAACATCACAATTTCCCCCCTTTTGACTCTTTCCATTTATCAGCGTATTTACTTTAAATCCCTACCAACAAGAACATCTCGTAAAACTGTTAGTTATAAAATGTGCAGTCTTACAAAGTAACTGCAGCACAGAGCTGTCTGTTGTCAGAGGGCAGCCATCTGGACTTGTTTATTTGTGTTTTCAACTTTCTGGAACAGGGAATTACTCTGTCAGAGACAGGGAACCATGTAAATGGAAGTACCCCACAGCGCACTGTCTGCCTCTAATTGTACACAGAGATTTTAATTTTATTTCAGGCACAATTTTAAAAGACCAGTAAGCAGTTACAAAGTAAGAGGTAGAAAGAAAGATTTAAAAATAGGCTCATTAATAACTAATCTATAAGACTCTCACTAAAATATCTGCCATAAGGCTAAAAAAGGGTTTCCTTATAGCATTTTAAAAACTATTTCCATATAAAGTAATGAGCTATGACTATAGGTTTTTGGAAGCTGAATAATTTTAAAAAAAGAGTTATTCATTTAGGGCCAGATTCCACCATTTCATGCTGAATGTACTTACTTTTGAGAGTAGCCACACTAAATGCATGTGTGTGTGTGTGTTACTCAAAATCAATAAGGATGGCAGAATCTGGCTCACCGGAATCTAGGAAAATCTTTCAAGCAATTTCTGTCCAGTTTCCTTAAAAGGACAACTGTGTAACTTTTTTTTGTTTAATATGTAAGAAGTTGCAACTTTATTTTTTATCTGAGGACCTTAGATTTAAAATTTCCAACTAAAAGGCTGGTATGATTAGCTTTGATAAGGTAAATGAACTTCACTTTCTCTTATTTGAATCAGAAGAAATAAAAATAGTAAAATGTAGTTCCTTCTTTAGCAAGAACTTATAAGATAAAATAGAAGAAAAATACCTTCTAAAGTAAAATCCAGCAATACATATTCATAAGCAGAGTCAGTCTTTGTTTCCACTTGCGGTCTCTTCAACGTAGAAAATATTTTTCCAGGGCTGCTATCATCTGGGTCTTCTAGCTTTCGTAGTCCGCACCCCATGGCAAGATCTGCAAAGGAAAAATCACAGGAAAGGGGGTGGGGAAAGCAGCAAGTTCTGTTACTCTGAGGAAAAAAAAAAAAAGTAACAAACTTAACTGCCTTGGATTTTGTTTACTAGTAGCCAAAAATCCAAAGACAGAAAAATTTCAGTTCCCAAGTTAGAAAGTGAAGACATTTTCTATTAGTTTTTTCATATAAGCATTGCACCCGTAATGACTTCAAGCTACTAACTCATCAAGAGTGGGCTTGATTTTACAGAAACGTACAAGCTGCTACAACTTAGCAAAGATTTTCCATGCCACGTCAATTTACAGCCAGCCCCCCCATCAGCATTCTGTTGCAGAGGACACCAATAGTGCTTTGTCTGTCCCTCTTGGCTGACTGATAATGAGGCAAAAAAGAACTGAAATAATAAAGTTAGAAGGAAACATATATAATTACCTACTGTCAGAAGATCTATTCAGATGCAGTAGTAAATGAGAGGAAAAAGAGCAAGTCAGAATGAAAGAATGAGAAAAGAGAGTCTCAATATGGTTAGAGACGAAAATCATTTCCAGAAAGGAAGTCAGCTTCAAGAGGAAATTGCTTCTGGCATCTCAAAGGGAGGAAAGTAAATGAAAAGCAGTTTAGACTCAATTTTAGATTTGAAAGTTTGGTTCTTATTTTCTTTCCACAGGAATTTTCTTCCCAATGGAAAAGCATACATGATCATGCTGTAATAAAGAATTTTCTTGGCAAGAAGAGTATATATGATCACTGTAAAATTTATTTTAAAAAATCCAGGTTAATAAAAGACAATTCAACTTTTGTTATATTTTATTTTAAAAGGTCATACTAAAATGCACCTTATGTTAAACCGAAGAGACTGTTGTTTCAAGTTATGCAGTATGAATAAAGTTCTGTGGCCATTTCCCTTCCATTTTCCATGTACATTAAATAGTTAAGACTTTTCTTTTGTCAGACTTACTACAGTGATTAGTACAGCAATAGATTTTCATCTTAGTAAAGAGGTGCTTTTAAATCACATCACATAGCTCTATGAACCTGTAACATAAAAGAGCTTTTTACAGTGGAGAAAATGGGATATGGTGTAGCAACAATGTAGACAACAGTGACACAGTAGACCCAATTTTATCTTCAGGTGCAGGAACAGAACTCACATTGAAGTAACTGGTTCCAGTTCTGCCCTAACATACAACCCAGTGCATGCAGTTATTCAGGATGTACATCAGAGCAAAATAATAGTCAGTGATTTCAGGGGGAGATGCACACATGAAACACAGAGGACAGAATTTGGCTTAATGTGTGGTATTTTATTACATCAGGATAGCAGTTTGGAAAGGAGGGGTCTTTTGGAAAGGTCTCGTGTATTGGTTTACCCGAGCTGGTTATGGTGAGACACAGAGAGAATGGAGTTGGATTTTGCTGTCAATTTCCATACGGTGTCCTCAACAGAGCTGGGCAATTAATTTTTTCGGCAATTCCAAAAAATAGGGGGGAGGGGGGGGAATTGGTTCAGGTCAGTTTGAAGCAAACCCAACATTTTTTGGCATTTTCAGTGAATCGAAAAAGTCAGAAAAATTTTGTTTTGGGTTGTCAGAGAGAGAGAGAGAAGAGCGTGAGTACGAGCCGCTAGTCTAGTAGTTAGGACATTCACTGGGAAATGGATGTAGGGAGATACCTGGGTTCTAGTCCCTCCTGCAATGAACGTTTAAGTATGTAGACCCACCCCAGAATATCCTTTAACCTGTGGATTAGGGCAGCCACCTGGCAGGGGCAGACCTGGGTTCAAGTCTCTGCTCCGGAATGGGGATTCAAACGTAGATCATCTCCCCGTCCCAGCTGAGTGCCCTAACCATTGGGCTAAAGGTTATGAGGGGGCAGCTCCTCCTCCTCCTGTGCTTTTGGTGTGTGAATATAGACCAAAAATAAAAAAAAGATGTTTATTTAACATCAAAATTAACCGTTTTGACATTTCTGAAATCTTTTTTTTTTGTTTTGACCAGAACAATTCACTGAAATCAAAATGAATTTGTGAAATGTTTTGATTGACTTAAATCTGCATTTTTCATCAAAGAAAAGTTTTGCCAAAAAATTTCACCCAGCTATAGTCCTAACCTCTTTGGCTGACTACCAAAATCTAGTGCATTAAGTTCATATAGTTTCATGTTCTCTGATTTTATTCCTGTTCCATTGTAGTGTATATAATGTTAATACATAGTTTGTGCTTTCATTTAAGAAGTTTACCAGTAATTAGTTCAAAAAAGCCATATTCTGTGCATGCAGTCTGCTTCATGGCTACTTTGGGTCAATTAAGCCAAGGGTGGAACCAAAGATTTCTGAGATTTAGAACATACCTCAAGTACTGTAACAGAGGATCTAGAAACTGTTTTAGATCAGACTTCTTTCTCTAACTTGTGAGACTACTCCTTTAAGAAGAGACTCAACTGGTTGGAGCTAAGTGAGTCCATAAAGGGTCTTTGAGGAGGATGACCTCAAACAATCTATCCAAGCCAAGGGGAAAAAGCAACACTGGCTGGGCATCGTTGAGAATGTCTTCACACAGACTATTATAAATCACTGGTGGGCTGATGTGCAGTAGACATATTACTGCAGACTGCACATATTTTAAAGCTGGACCTATCGTCCTGATTTTCCATTTTGAGATTAGGGAGTAATGGGCACCACATAATGAACTAAAGCAACCTTAAAGCTGTACTAATTTTCTAAAAACTAAACAAACTAACCTTACTAGTTCCTAAGGTTTCAGACAGATCCAAGACAAATGCAACTGGCAGGCGAAAAGTGGATAATTCCTAGACCCATAGGCAGAAAAACAAGGAATGAGAGAATATTTGGACGAAGCATCTCTCATAATTATGATCTGAATGCTCAGGTCTTTAGACAACGCAGGCACATGAATGCAAAGGTTAAGAGATCAGCATTATAATAAGAACTATATCAATCACTACTGAAATAAGACATTTAATAAAGTATAGGCATGTACAAAATATGCCTTTAGGATTCCTATTACTAAGGGTTAAATTAAAGTTGGCTTACTTTCAAAAACCTAGAGAAAAATGAACAAAAAAAGATGAAATACTGAGAAAGGCTCTCTGAAACTTTGGGCTGAAATTTGAGAGGAACTGAACAGTTAGACTGTAAATCACACTGTACAAAAGATTTACATGAGTTGAACCATACCAGACTGCAAAACTATTTCACCTTAAATTACGTTTCCCTGCTAAATTCCCTTCCAGTGTCCAAAAAGACCACTGTTTCATGATATAAGAATGATGCTGTCTGTCCAAATCAGTAGTCCTAGAATAATGAATGAAGGTAGAAAATAGCAGCACTCTGAAGTGGATGGGTACTTCAGTATTCAAATGATTTATATACAGAATTGCTCAGTATTGGCTCAGGGCCCCCCAGCAACTACTATTATTTTAACCTTCTACTAAATCTTTAAACCTAGTACTAAAAAAAATCTTTGCTTTTTCATGAACAGCAAAATAGTTCTTACACTTGTAAATGTTTTTATGAAGAACTAATGTCAATATATTTTTTAGTTAAACAAAATGTATGTTTAAAAAGCTATACCGACATGAGTTAGTTGTTTCTTTGTAGCAACATTTAAATGTATAAGAACTGTTTCATGGTTCATGAAAAAGCAAGAAATGTATTTAGTATAGGGTTTAAAGAGAATATTTCATAAGTAAAGAATGGATATTTACCCTGCAATAACTGTGGTTCTTTGAGATGACGCAGTCAGTTTGAATCACACTGGAGGTGTGCATGCACCTCATGTGCATGAACTCAGAATCTTTTGAATAGCAGTGTTAGCTGGGGCCATGCATGCACCCTGAGTCTCCTTATGACCCAGTGAGAGGGCATACAGGATGGAACGGCTGTAACACTCCTTCAGTTCCCTTGCAATTCTAAGTCCATGACTCTGACAAGTGGGGATGGAGGGTAGGTCATGGGCTCCACACCGACCACAACATCTTCAAGAGCCACAATTACTGTACAGAAAATAACTGTTCTATCTTCTCTGAGTATGTGTCAGTGTGGATCCCACTGAAGGTGACTGTCAATAAGTATCCTCTCAGGATGATGGGAATGATTAGTATCAGCTACATCAGTTAAATAGAGATTGACATACTATTCTCCCAAACTTGGTATCTTATCTAGTAGTTAAGATCAGTGCATAATGCTTGACAAATGCGAGCGGGTTGCTTCATGTGCCTTGCAGATTTCAGATATTGACACATTTCAGAAGTATGACAAGTATGTTGATTGGGCTCTGGTGGAGAGACCCTTACTAATTGGTGGGAGACCAGCTGGTAACATAGTGAAATGCAACATCCATTTTGACGGTTTTTGCAATGAAATAGCCTGACCTTTGAAGCAGCCAGCTATGGTCACAAATAGATGGAGCAGTCTAAAGGACAGAGAAAATGATAGTGGCGAGGGTAGTGGGCAAGGGTAGGGGGCCAGAAAAGAAATTGGATGGAGCAGCTATGGGTGACAAAGTACAGCAGATATTTGTTGGCTGTAATCTCTGGCCGTGCCCAATCAAAGTGGGGACAAGGCAATTTCTGGCATGGTGATGACATGACTCTCAATATCCCTGTCAAATCTGCTGCCTCTGGGTGGCAGCCTGGTGCACAGTAGAGTAGGGGGATGATCGGCACCTCCTGGTTTTAACAGGATTGCTTTCTAGGCAAGCATTCCAGTTGGTGACTGTGGAAATAAGATTATTTTATGCTTTGTGGGGACTGGTACAGGAACATCTTGGGATATAGCACTGGAGTGTAAATTCCCACAGATCTCAGCATTGCCCTTGAATCCATGAAGGAATGGAATGTCTTGTGTGTCTGGTTCCTGAAGAGCTCCATGCCCTTGAAGGGCAAGTATTCTATTGTTGCCTGGACTTCTTTTAGAATTCAAGATGCCTGTAACCAGGAGGCCCAGCACATTGTGACTACCATGGCCATGGATCAAGCAGCCATTCTGGGCTCCTCCATTGCTGTTTGTAGGGCTGTTTTTGCTACTATCTGCCCTTCTTTGATGGTGTATCTCAGCTCCTCCCTAGAGTCCTGCCAGACCCTTGATAGGAAGGGGAGTTGCTCTGACCTACATCAGAAAATTGTATTTTGCAAACAGGGCCAAGTAGTTCAGGATGTAGAATTGGAGAGAGGCTGACAAGTAAGTCTTTCAGCCAAAGAAGTCCCTTTCTTGGGGTCCTTATTCTTTTGGCGTCCCCTTGGTGGACCTGAACTCTT